ATTGGTTTCAAACGGTAATGATTTTTTTTGTATGATGATAGATGAATCCAATAGGTTCTAATTTCTCTAATTTCATTGATTCCCAATTTTTTGGAGGGGTTTACCGAACCAAAAAGTTTAAATGAAAATTACAGATTGAACGTTATAAGTTTCCATTTTCCAGGTTATTCAATTATTTATTTTTGCAGTTTGATTTCTTGGAACCGAGAGATGTAACGGGACTAGCTACTAAAGGCGGAGACAACGGATGGGTGAAAACTTACACTGTTGAATATTCCCATGACAAAATTCATTGGAACCAGATATTGGACAGGACACATTCGGAGATTATTTTCTTAGGAAACTACGACAATCACATGCCGCACGTGACCAACTTTGAGCTACCGATAAATGCTCGATATATCAAAATCATACCTAAACAGTGGGAAAATAACATTCAAATGAGGGTGGAGTTACACGGATGTTTCAAACCTTACCGTAAGTTTGTTTTGATGTGAAATCAAGTATATAACATCATTGAAAATGCCTGCAGTTAATAGGACATTGTTTTTCAGCCCAAGTTAGCCCGAAGAAAACCATTTTTATAATACAATTTTGTGTTTTGCAAAATAACCTGACGTTCTGGAATTTTTCTAGTATTTTTTGGTTTTCAGAATACCTAAATACATAAAAATCAGTTGAAAACATCCAGACAGCTGTTTTATTGCAATGTTATCAATGATCTAAATGTTCGATTATCGAAGATGGAAGTTCATTTAGCGTATGGCTTATTCACATCACAAAAGTTAACACAACAAACATAATTGTATAAAAGCATAAAAAGTCACAGAAAATTAAGTTCACAAACAAACATCTAAGTCACATATATATTCATATTCAATTGCATCCTTAGTCGCTATCAGGAAGTCAGAGGGGTCACCGGTGTAGGCCCTCAGTGGACAGTCTTCAACGATGTGTATGATTGTTTGCATAACAAGTGAGTCAGCGCATTTGGTTCTAATTCTATTTAGGGTTGACCATGCTTTGCGGAGAATGTCGAATCCATGTGGTTTGCTGGATATGTAAGGCATGTTGCGGTAGGCTAGTGGAGCATTGATCTACCATTCTTCTCGCCAGCGGGCAGTTATGTCAAAACCGGTATCATGCAGAGACCTTCCAGTTCTGGGAGAGGAATGCCTGGTGCGGAGTCGGTTTCTTTCGAAGGCGAGGGTATCGGAGTGGATTGGTAGTTGAGGATTATCAATGATCTTCTTGAGGGGCTATGTGGTTAAGCGTGGGGAACCAGAAAGTAGGTATTGGTTTGATCGTAGCTGTAATAAGCTGCATTGTGTGGTTGAGCTGGACATTAACCAGATCAGCGTGAGCGCTATTAAGCCACACCGTGGTGCAATATTCAGCTGCTGAATATACCAAGCCCACGGCTGAAGATCTCAGTGTGGAGGCTGATGCTCCCCAAGTGGTGCCGCATAGTTTCTGGAGGATTTCATTACACGTTTTTATCTCAGCTACTGTTTTCGACAAATGTAGTTCTCTATTGACTAATTTGTTGTTTAGGTGGAAACTAGAGACCTCTGTCTTAGCAGCACCTGGTTTAAGTCTCCACTTGCGAAAGTATTGCCCGATAGCCAGCAGGTCGTTTGTTAGAATATTCTCGGTGACTTCAATATCATTGTGTCTAGCAGCTAGTGTCCAGTCGTCAACGTATCTGAACTTTCTCGAACTCGTTTCAGGCATGTCAGCAATATATAAGCTGAATAGTAGGGGGGGCAAGTACTGATCCCTGTGGTGAGCCATTTCCCGTAACTGTGTAATGGTTTTCATTACTACATTCAGAAACACCTACACTTATTGGTCCTCAATATGTTCAGAATATCTTTATGAAGTTCAGTTGATTCTCACATAATAATTGAAAAAATCATTTATTTTTCTAGCAACCATCACAACCACAACACCATCTCCAATGAAAACTGTGGCCCCAAGCCAATGCAACTATTGTCCAGGTGTTGAACAAAATGACATGGAACTGGATGCATGCAGGTGTTCAGTTAATTTATGGTGGGATGGAGAAAATTGTGTCAATAGAACCCAATGCCCCTGTATGATGGGATACATTCCGTGAGTATTCTAAATGCTATTATGCACCTCTCCGGAGTATGTTCGTGGAGTTGTTTCCTGGCTCTGTCTGCAGGTGGCGCAGTGGACATCCCACTGAATCAACTGCAGAAAGATTTCATGACTAATTATATTTGTTTGGTCGTGATACTCAGACGTTTCACACCGTTCTGAAGAGACCATTCTGATGATGGGGCACCCCGAAACCGGTCTATCAGTTGGTCGTATCGACTAAGCTAAATTCATTTCTGTTTTTCAAAGTGGGAAATAACTTGCGAAGAATCTTCCAAATCGAAGACGTTGCACAGGTGCCTGATGGTTTTACTTCAACTCTCTGCGTGGCATCAGCTGGGTTAGTTGTTGTTTTTCCATTGGGTATCTGCCACACGTACCTACAAAGTCGTCTACATGAGAGGCAAGGGGTAAGGTGTTTTCACCAAATTTGCAATATCTTATTTCTGTTTGGAGAACAGCAAGTGAATCTATAATCAAACCTCTAAAAACCTTACAAAACAAAATAATTATAAATCACCATATTTGGAACCAACATGGACCTTGTATGAACCAAACTATTAATTAGACTGAAATTCACTTTATAATCTCAAAATCAGCTGTTTCATTCATTCTGTTAGAAATAATACTAAGAAATTCGAATGAATTAGACATAAGGTTTGTTCTGGTTCTACGAAATTCAGGTTCTAGGACGTCAGGATCATGCGCAGATATAGAGCGTTCTGGTTTATTGAGGATAAATTCGGATTGATGAATCCTCTGTTCTGGTTTAAACTGTCCTAAACCATCCTGAATCATTGTTGCTCTCGAGGGTGAACTGTTGAGAACTGTTCCAGTTGCTCATGCGCACTCATGTGGAAATTTGCTTGGGCTATTTTCTAGGATGATTTTTTATTTATTTGATTTGAATAATTGATGATTGAGGTTAGATAACTTTTGAACTGACTACAAGTATACGCTACATAACAAAATGGACATGATCAACAGTATTTTCTCGTCTTCATCTCTTCATATATACGATAGATGGCACAGTGGTCTCCTCAAAATGCGTTCTGGTGTAACCAAGTGTCCGAGACTATTTCGGACTGTTTGAGATATTTTGTTTATACGCATCATGTCTTGCGTAGTTTCCAAACAGTTTCGGATGTTAGAACCAGAACAAACCTATATTCATATTCAAGGCACAAAACAAACCAAAATACAAAAAAAATTTAGAAAAAAGTAAATGTATCACGATGGGATCATTATATATAAGTCAATTCCAGAAAAAATAGTGAAGAAGTTCTATTCCATTACAAAATTCAAGTATCAATTGAAAAAATTCTGATTAGTAGAATTTTATTTTTTTTTTCAAAATAAAATATGTTATATGTTTACTGTGGACTTCAGATTTCCTAGATTTTCTAACAACCAAAATTTCTCATATACGAGTGTTCGCCTGTTTGATTCATAAGAATGTCGTTTCACCAACTGAAAGTACAGTTAACTGAAGTTTTAGCCTAATCAAATGAATATTACTGGAGTTTTTTCCCAACACCAAATCGTTATTTTTAACACCTCGACACGTGTTTCGGTCACCAAGTGATCTACTTCAAGAGGAAGATTAAACTAGAAACTAACGCGTATGGGTGGTACACCTGTAGGGTTTACCTGTATAGCATAAATAGCGTTAGCTTCGCTTTAGTTTCTAGTTTAATCTTCCTCTTGAAGATGATCACTTGGTGATCGAAACACGTGTCGAGGTGTTAAAAATAACGATTTGGTGTTGGGAAAAAACTCCAGTAATATTCATTACTACACCAAAGGTTCCAAACAGTGCATCATAAGTAATCAAATGAACATAATTTTCATAGTTTTTTCCAAAAACTATTTGATGCAATTTCTTGAATTGATATTTTGAGAGATGATGAAACGGGTAACCCAGTAAACATAACAATAGTAGTGACATCATTTCAACATTGTAAGCTGGTGGTCCTTTTTTCATATTGAATAATTGAAAATATTTCTAATGATTGATCCTTTTCTAACAGATATGCAGTGGGATCTATTTTCGAGAAAGAAGATTGTTCTCAATGTGTATGTAAAATTGGTGGAGTTTCCCATTGCAAACCCAAAGAATGCAGCCCATGCGAGGAGGTATGTTGCAAAAAAATCAGTCATCATTCTATTCTATTTAATAACGAGTAAAATTTTGAAATCTGCTTCTACAGTATATGTAAAATTAAAGCAACTCTCAGTGGTATTTTCGCTATATACATGCAAACTGAAGATTCTGCAAATCTTTGAGATGAGTGAGATGATTCATATCATCCTCAAAACAAAACCTTGAGGTATTCCACGAAGAAATATATTTTTACTCAACTTGATAGTTTGTTTTTCACGAATAACTTTTCAGTAGTTTGAATGCGGTACTACGAAATTCATTGGTTTTATTATATTTATAAAAGTAATGTATCGCAGACTATACATAAATTTAATAATATTCCTTACATGATTGGTATATTTTATTTATTATGTAACAAATTGCATTCTGTGTGGTCTTATTCTCCCTGAATTCTAATTGGTTTCTGGAAAAAAATTAATTTAAATATTTTCCAATTCTAAACCTGAGATTTTCGATGGACTGGATGTTATTATAAAAAGCTATAATTCTTCATTTTATTTCTATTAGCACATTCTGGATGAGTTTTATCATTGGATGGAATGATTTACTCAATTGAACTAAGGAAAAACGATTGTATCCTAATCAAAAACAGACGATTTCTATTAAAAGTTTTGCGATTTTTTTCTTGAAATAAGAAGAAAAGTCGATTTTCTGTAATAAACGGTAGACTTTTTTGGAAACTCAGTTTATAATACTTTTCAATATGAAACCTATATACGAGTATTGGATTGGATCAATTTCTGCTGTCTTCAAATATATCGATTTTTGAATTGTTCGAAACTACTTTTTAAAATTGAAGTTAATACCGAAATTCTTGTAAAAACACCGAATATTATGTACAGAGTTATGATTTTATCATCTAGGTTTAAAACACTCTCTCATAACATCAGTTTGAGAAAACTTTTATTCATTTCAACAATGGTTTAAATAAAGAAGCATCTGCTGAAGCCTTAACGTTTTCAGGCGAAGGGCAAAATAATCAATTCACTTCTAGAAAATCAAATATCTGAATCGTATCGTGATTCTGAGAAACAAACAGAAATGAATGCTAAAAGTGGTCCAAAATTCCAGGTTTATTATTTCAATTGTCTTAAGAAATAGATACTTTACATAAGTGCAAACAAAAAATCAACTTCGCAAAATTCGGTGCTAAGAATTAAGCAAGTGGACAAAACATCGCCGGTAAAGCGAAGCAGCGATAAAGTTTGCAGACCATCTAGTAGTCCGAAGTTGCTCAGACGTCACCGGGACGCAAGATTAGCATCTGTTCATCAACATCTCATTTGGAATGATGTATAGTGGCGGAACGTTATGTTTACAGACGAATCACGATTTTTCGTGCATTCTCCGAATGATAGTAGTGAAAGATTTGTCGCTTTGCTATCAAAAATCATGGAGAAAGTTGTAAACCACCATATCCTCAAATATTTGGAAGGCTTCAACATCTTGAGCTATCATCAATATGGCTTTCGGAAACAAAGATCAACAGGCGACCTTCTATCGTATGTCACCCATATTCGGAATACCGTAATCGAGAAACATGGAGAGTTAAGAGCTGTTGCGCTTGATATTTCTAAGGCCTTTGACCGTGTGTGGCATGATGATTTGCTGGCCAAACTACGATGCTATGGTTTGTCGGATCATTCTTGTGTATGGCTCTTCAGCTTCCTGAAAGAACGTTCCCTACAAGTGGTCGTCGATGAATATCTCTCGAATACTTTCACCATCAACGCTGGTGTTCCCCAGGGATCCATATTGTTTCCAACCCTCTTTTTATTGTATATCAACGACTTAAAAATCAAAATGAATGAGATACAATGTGGAGGAAATAAAGAAAGCTTTGTGTGTGAGGATAGTTTTGAGTGTCATCTTGAAGCTGTTTTTCATCACAGGGTGTCTTAAACCCATGTATAATGTCTAAAAATCGGGACTTTAAAAAATCTGTTCGATGTGAATTTTCTCCCATTTATTAAAAATATAGGGCTTGAAAAAAAAGGGTATTCAAGATTTATTAACATTTAAAGGTGGCCCGTTTTCAAATTGTTAATAGCCATATTGTTAATTAAATTTGATGAATATCAGAATTATTTTCAAAATCGAGTTCTCAAGAATTCTAACATTCCAGGGTCTCAAAAGTACAGTATCTAGTACCTGCTCCTGCATATGTCAGCCTTGTCCATCAAACACAACTCTGTGCCCAACCAGTAATATATGCATCGATTCAAAATTATGGTGCGACGGAATACAAGATTGCCCGGACGATGAGATGGATTGCGCTACAACAACCGAAGAAATAATCTCTTCCACTACCAAGTCAACAACTGTCCTTCCAACTACAAAACGACCAATCGCAACTACTGTTCGTAAGTAATGTAATCATGTATGCTATGTGCAATATACATAGTTTTTCAATTACAGAGCCAGTAAACAAATGCCCTGTCGTGACTTGTCGACCAGGATTCAAGAAAATTGTGAAGAAAAGGGGCAGATCATATGTATCCACAATGATTTCCGGTAACAGCAGAAAATCAAATCGAAAGATATACTCACCCATAAAATCGAAGTATATTCCCAAAAAAGGAGGTAAGAGACAATATATAAATATATACTATCTATACTGATATTATGAATGGGGAAGATTGTGAGGATAGATAAATGTATGTATTTTTCACATATAGTCAGTGGGCATACTTGAAGACTGGCTATAAATCAAATCATCTGAAGGAACAATTCGTTCAAGCCAGTCTCGACTCCTTACACTGTAGTTCAATGGACTGACACCTATCAGAAAACAACTACTCCCCTGGCTAATACCATGAAGGGTGTTGGATTATATCCAACAGGTGTCAGTGCAGAATTCTTGACTGAAGTTATCCCTGCATATGCTTTTGGCGATACAACTGCCGCAATAGATTATCAATTATTTATTGGAACACACTTGCAGATCGGTTTCGGACTGTTTGGCCACTCGTCAGTGCAAGAAAGTTTCTATCAAAATGGTTTAGACTTTCGCGGCTGAGGTTTTCAGTGAAACTTTCTATCATCAACATAAAGTCGATGATTTCCAATAATTGAAAATCGAATTCCTTCAGAGTATCATTCCTCGATGTAATCCATTGGATATAACCCAACGCCCTTCGTGGTATTAGCCAGGGGAGTGGTTGTTTTCTGATAAGTGTCAGTCCATTAACCTACAATCTAGGGAGTTGAGGCTGGCCAAGTGATCGAGGAAGTTCAATTCTTTTCTTGAAGATGATCACTTGGTGATTGAAACACGTGTCGAGGTGTCAGAAATAATGGTTTGGTGTTGCGATAGAACTCCAGTAATATTCATCACTACACCAAAGATTCCAAACAGTGCATCAGACGTATATATTATATCCTTGAAAATAACCAGTTAGGTCAGTGCCATGGGTATAGTTTCGTTTGAAAAGTAGTGACTGTAATGTTTGTTGTCTGTCTCAGTATTCACGTTAATGGAATTGTAAACCGAAAAGTCAATCTGATTTTTGATGAGTTATATTTCTCTTTTGTTCTTCCCTTTAAAGAACCAATTGAATTTATTTCAATCATAATACAAAGAGCTCTGTAGAATAAAACTCTGGAAGCTGCATAGAAAACAGAACTTCATTGTCGGATGAATCAGAAGTACCTATATAAGTTGGCCAAACGGTCTGAACCTTTTTGACAAAGAATAAAATAGCATAGGAGTAGTTTCTTGAATGTGAAGACCAATTCCACAGTTGTGAACCATCTTTCGACAGAGGGACATGATAATGACGTGTTACATTTGAAAGAAGAAGGTTTGAAATTCAGTCTTTTTGAATGTTTGGAAATCAATGGATTTAAGAATTTAATTATTGATCAAATAATTGTTTTTCAATGTGGAAATTGGTAATTAGTCGATGAGTAAACTCAGATAATTTTCACGTATTACATGTTCATTCAAATGAGTTCGTAAAATTCCCTTCGTAATGTTTGAATTTTCAGTTAGTTTGTTCCTAAACCCAGGTAAAATTATCATTCAGTATGAAAGTAGTTTATCATTTGATTCAAACTCTTAAATATACAAAGCACTAATTAAGTAGAATTTAGTTAGAATGAACCCGCCTGAGGAAGCTAATGTATAGTGAAACACGTGTTGCGGTATTGTGAACTGTCCAGTGGAAATTTTAAAATGAAGTATTGCTGGCATACGTTACGAATTTTCACCAAGTACCGATGAATTCCATCTCATATCTTTTTATTTTCAGGCAACAAAAAGTTGCAGAGACCAACTCTGGCACCATTCCAAAACGAATCCATTTGTATAGAATACATCTGTGCCCGATCTAGACCTGCTCCAAAATACATACACAGTCCGGATGAATGTCCTCCTATTGTTTGCCAGGTCAACTTCATTCCTGTTTTTGAAACTGAATTCACCAAATCGTCCAAAATGTGTCCCGATTATACTTGCCATCCACCACCAGAGCCTGATGCGGTGTGCAATGTGACCGGAAGAACGTTTAACACGTTCGACAATGTTGAATACAAATACGACATCTGCAACCACGTTTTGGCAAGAGATTTGGAGGCTGACGAATGGGAAATATCACGTAAGTTGTTCGAATTTTGAATTATGAATACTCTGACCCGTTACTTCAGTAACTGATGATGCTACCGAGTAGCGAAACGCGTTTGGAATAACACATATTGTAAAAATTATCTAGTTATTATCATGGATAGTGTTTGAATTGTGTTTTATTTGATGATATGTATCTCATGAGATTCGTATTTTTCGAAAAATTATAACTCGCTAAAGTTGAAGTAATTTTAGTACCATACATTATATTCGGTTTGCCAAACTAACAATTTCACAGAAAATCATGTGAATATGTTGTAATTCTCAGATAATACATATTTAGAATCCGGAGCCTGACTATTGTCAACGATTTTTTCAACCAACTCAAACTCCATAACCATCATTTCCGGGTATTTTTTCAAATCATTTTTATCATTTTTTATCAAAGATTGAGAAAAAGAAGGCTTGGATTGGACTGTTCATTCGCGCTCAACATAAGCATCTTGGAGGAACCATATAAATCGGTAACAGCTATAATATTTTTTTTTGACCTTTCATGTTTAAGCTCTCATGAGAAACAAAAAGAAACAAATCATGAATTAACCATTCTAGGGAAACAAACAGATTAGAATTGCAATTATTGTTACGTTTTTTTCGTGGGTCGACCAATAATTAACTACACTGAACGATAATGAAACTTAACTTTGCTTCACTTCAAATACAACAAACACTTCAACTGAAACTTCAACGATTATTCGAATATATATTGCCTTACTAGATCGCTCCGCGAACCACACTGTAACTTCCACTTGACTGTCTCGATGGGCGAGTGGATCCCATCAGAGCTGGTAGCATTATTCTCGCTACATCTAGAACGGTAGCGAACATCGAACATTCGCGCGCTCTTAGCTACGTCACAATTGGTTTATGGCTACCAGTGGTGGCCGGCGTTATTTTTTTTAGGGCATGACTTAAAACATTATATTACAAGAGAGCTACTTCTAAACCAAAACCTAAAATAAGTGTAATATATAGACTTTTAGATTGTTTTTTGAATGAGTGAATAGTGTAATGAAAAAATAGTAATGTTTCGATGTTACTAAAGTTTTGTTCAGCAAGGGTTTTTAATAAATAACGACATGACGTCAAAGACAAGCCCGATCAACATACTCCCAAAGACCTAACTAACTGCTTACCATTTGGTAACATCACAGTAAGTACCACAGCGTTGATAAAAATAATTATTATGATCCCACTCCGAATAATGACACGGGATAAGTTACCTGCCTATCGTTATTAGATTTCAGTGAGGTATTCGATCTTGTCAATCACGAATTACTCCTGAACAGATACAATCAATATGGCATTTATTTGAATGCATAATTCTGATTAGGAATAATCTGAGTGGAAGAATAGTTGGTGGTGTTCCACGGAGAAGTATGATAGGACTGCTTCTTTTCATAATCACATCAGGTCTTCTTTTATTATTGGAATCATCTTTATTCTGATGATAAAGCCAACTCTACAACACAAGCGACTCAGACAATTCTCATTTACTGATAAAGGGAGCTGAATGTGAAATTGAATCGAGTATGTTGATGGTTTATCAACAGAAAGTTCAAGATTGATATAACTATGGTGGTATGTGTCGAGTCGAAAACTCATACTGAAAAGGAAAATCATTGTCAAACTCGTGCTATAATATTGGATAATGCTGTAATAAATCTTAGTGGTGAGATTAAAAATTATTGTAGATAAACATCTCATTTTTGAAATGTACAAAAAAAGTTTCTGTTACATGCAATACTCAAACGGAATAGAGAACTTGTTCTTCGTATAATTCACCGTTCATATAAAAGTATTTGTTTCGAAAGTTTTTTTTGTGTAATTCAATGTTTATATGAAAATAGATGTTTCGAGGGGGTTATTTCTTCCATTTTGTGTCTGAAATTTACTTATTTGCATGATCTACAGATCGTTTTGAAATTGATTGCTTCATTCCTTTCTTTGGAAGTATAATTTACTATCGGATGTCAGGTGACGCCTCATAAATGCATCACTCCTGGTTTTTTTGAATACGGTATATGGTTGTAATAATTTTTAATGAACCTTTCAATAACATGATAAATACAAAAAAACTGTGAAATTCTTGTCAGACTGTCTTTCATACTTTTATTGAGAGAGTTACTTAAATACGTTATCATGAATTTTCATCAACCAGTTTACCATGAATTGGTTGATTGTGATGCATCTTAGCCTCCAACATACAGATGTTTTAGCCTGTTGAGCATCGTCAGTATCGATCTGGTCGTCCTCGATGAAAACAAATTGTGAAAAACCCAGACGAGTACTTCAACAAAATCACTGCGTAAATGCAAGCGATTCATAAGTGGAATCATCTATTTGTGTGATACCCGAGTTGACTAGCAAAGTTTTTCTGTCAGAGTTAGTGGTTTGACCAATCTTCAAAACCAACAACTGCATCAACAAAAGTATGGAAACATATTCAGGAATGCTATCGGAAAACGAATCCATATTTCTATTAACGCAGTTGTCGGTTTCAAAGATCGATCAAACCACCAACACCGACAAACTTATAGTTTGCAAACTTGGATGTCATACCACTAGGTGGTTCCACTTATGTATCGCTTGCTTTTACACAGTAATTTTGATGAAATTTGAGTGAAATTGAATTTTGAAGAAGACGTTCGACATTATAGAATTTTCACAATGAACAATTGCTATATTGGGTTTTCTTCTCCCATTGGGCCTATTTTCTGTCCATGGTGGATACCTGTTCTTGCTGGAGGGCTCTTGTTGCCTGACTTGAGTTTTATGAACTTGGGTATAACGCTCTTTCTAGAACACTCGTTGAAAAACCACAGGTTAGTGTTTACAGATAGGTAATTATAGAATTTCTACAATAAATTTCATTTTAAACGCGTTTCGCTACATGGTAGCTTCATCAGTTACTGATAATTGGAAAGGAGATATTTTAAGGAGAGATTAGATTTGAATCATGATCATGTACATGAGTTTCTATCAAATTCGTTAGAATATTCCACCATTCAATTTTATTTCTATCTTCGGAAGTTTTCCACGTTCTATACAATGATGGAAAAGTAGCAAGCCAAAAAGATTTTTTTGAAAAAAATTAGACATGTTAGAAAAACTTTTACCTCTTTAAGAGGGACAGATAAAGATAAATCTATACAATGCTCATGTACTATTTGTATTTGCTATTGAAACACGATTTTCGTGTATTTGCGGAAAAAGAAAATGATCATTTATTACTATTAAAGTAAAAATATTACCATTGATATATCCAAATTTTACAGATGAACATGAACACAAATGGATAGATATTTTCTTGGACAAACTTTATAAGAATAACTGAAATTTTCTAGACAAACGTCACAGAATGTTTTTTTACATTTCAGTAAAGAAAAACTGCAGTGGTATATGCTCACAAGATCTCATCATCCGTCACGGTGAAAATTTACTAGTCTTGCATCCAGACCTATCCGTGGAATACAATGGATACCGTTACACAGTGGAACAGACGAAAAATATCGGTGAACAAAGTCAAGACTTCGAAATTTCCCAAGTGGGAAGTACGCTCCTGTTCATCTCACGTCAGTACGGATTTTGGATAATATGGAACGAGGCTGGAGACGTCAAACTCGGTGTCGTTAGAAAATTGGCGGAAAAAGTTGACGGGTTGTGTGGATACTTCAACGATCAGCCGGAAGACGATAAAAGGAAACCCGATGGAAGCATAGCTAGGACTTCGGTGGAATTTGGGGACAGCTGGGCACTTTCTGACGACCAACCCGATATATGTGAAGCTAGGGTTTGTCCCATTCATCTTCAAAATAAAGCTTGGGAAATGTGCAATAAGGTTAAGTAAGTATTCTTGAATTATCACGTAAGTCATCTAGGGATGCTGGTTGACTTTCATAGAGTGTTTTCTTCAAGTGACCACACAAAAAATCTATCAGATTCAAATCTGGTGACTATGCCAGCCACTTCACTTATCCTCTTAGGTCAATCCGCCTACCAAATACTCAAATACTCACTGAGAGCAAGGGTAGTGGTCATTATTTTCAAGAATGATTCTTGATGCGGGATCGACATTGTCTTGTAGCAATTGCAAGTACATTTCTACAGGCCAGTCAGCTCGTCAGGATGTTGAGTATGAACTTCACGGTATAATTGTTGGTTTTAATCAGGACAATACCGACAGATGTGATAACTAACAGTCCCGTTCCCAAAAAACGAACACTCGTTTGAGAAACAAATTTTGAACAACCAATTCAGGTTATTTATTATACGTTCACTCATGGAATCACGAAATTCTAAACGTCTGTCAAAGTCGTCTTAATTTAATTGTTGCACAAGATTGATTTTATAGTACCTAGTGGAATTTATGGGAATTCAGAATTCTTCACATAATGGTATATGTCAGAAACTGTAGATAATTGGCTGGTACTCAACGTAGGATCGATTCTGACGTTTGTCAACGCACCGCAACTTCCATAGCTTCGTTTACCATCATTTTATTTAGCGGTTTCTTCTTCTATTTTTCACTGATTCTATCTTTCCGAATTTACCCGCGAGTTTGATGACGTACTTTCGGTTGAAATGCTTATCAGAATTATGGCCGTTAAACAACTGTGCTGTAATATTAGCGCACTTTCATAATAAAGTTCAACTATCGATCTCCTTCCGCAGTTCAATACATCATTTTGAGCAGAATAATATCCCGAAATGGTCGCAGTTGAAATCTGCGAGATACTAAATGTAGATAAACGAAATTCTAAATACTTTTAAGGAAAGAGCAACAGAAGCTGTGTTCGAAAGTAGATAATTGTAAATAGGCCAGTAAGGTAATTCTCAAATTAAAATTGGGCTAGCTGCACACTGAGAAATTAGTATCAAAAGTTCATTTATTATCTATACTACATCAAATTTCAAAAAGTGGTAAGCAGTGAAAGGAGAAATCGATGGCCTTTTAAATGAGATATCGCGTAACTGGTTTGATAATAGGCGCAAAAGATTTTCCCCTCGAAATAAAAATGAATGGTTCCAAGCGAAAGTTTTCTTTAATGTCATTTATGAGAAATTGGCCTTGTTTCGTTTTTACAGATCTAAATTTCTACATTGTATTATATGTAGGTTATATAATTGATTCAATCTAATATTTTTTACTTTGGCAATTAATATTTCATCATCATCAGAAAAAGAAAGCATAAACTTTTTCAATTGGTTATTGATTTTTTTTCAAGATTATTGCATTTCAACGTCATGATAGAATGTTAATTTCTCCTTAAATTTGAGCGATGTGATTTAACGAGCAATTGAGTAATTGTTTGTTTTTTGTATGATGACACTGTATATTTATTTCACTGAAATTCACACAAGAGAACCAAATCATGGCTCTTTATTGCACTAAAGATCAAATGTCCGAATGGTCTTTTGTGTGGCTTATGTTACCAGAAATGTAACACTCTTCTCGACACGCGTCTTCAAGAGATGAAATACTGGATTTAAACAGTGTGTGATTGTATTTATATGTTGTAGTTGAGACAACCCTAGGTCATCGAATTCGCAATAGCATTATCTACAAATCAGTAATGAATTCATAAGAAAACTTACCTGTGAACACCTAGCAACCCTCAATTATTTCTAGGAAATGGATGTTTCATTCATATATTTTCTTGTTTTGTTCATTCACTCTAGTGCATAAATTATCTATTTTATTAGAATATATGTAAACTTTTTCAAGGGATCAATCACTAGCAGCCTGTGGAAAAGTTGTCAATACAGATGCCTTCATCTCACGATGCTTAGAGACAATTTGTACCTGTTTGGAACGCTCCGTCGACAACCATACAGCTGAAGAAGGATGTCGATGTCAAGCTTTGCAGTCATTTGTCGTAGACTGTCTTTCTGCTGACAATACAATTGATATATCTGACTGGAGATTACAACAGGATTGTCGTAAGTTTATTTTTTCTCATAACAAAAAGAAATATATCTAAAGGCGGATTTCCACCAAACGGACAAAACGACAACAAAACAGCAACTGTGTCGATTTCGACAAACTTGAGTTGTCAAAATAAGAAACATTTTGAAGACTTTGTGTCGTGGGCGACTGTTTTTGTCAACAACGAAATGTCCGTCGACAGGCGGAAAGATTAAAATGTGTCGGTGTTTTGTCTGTGTTTTTGTTAACAGGGTTCACTATGTGGAAACAGTCGGGGACAGCAATGAGCAACTATTCAGATATAACATATCTGTAATTCGTATTCTGTTTGAAAATGTTTGGTCCCAGTACATTTAACAAGTTTTGGAACCTTCTATAAAATTACGAAACGATGATTTCAGTTCCATTCATTCCTATGTCATCATTTATCAAATCTGCCATAATTTTATCGGTTTCATAATCTATTCGTCTTCTTAACAATGATTTCATCTAGTATCTTGATTTTTCCGCTTTCACTCCTTTCGCTCAAAAGATTCGATTATAAAAAAATCGCAGCCCATTTTTTTTATTAACCTTTCGAGCTGTCTGACTTGTCCATTTAATCCAAGTCTCCAGGAAACACTGCAGCCTCTTGGACTTATTGCGTTTGTTCTCCCATCTTCTCATGACACCCATTCCATCAGTCTCGTTCCCTGTACTAGTTTGTACAGGTTCCGTGTTGGATGTTCGTCATATTCTTCTGAACGTAATTTCGTACGTCCATATATTGCCTGCCTCCTGTGATTCAGTGCCTCACATTCGCATAAGATGTGTAGAGCTGTTTCTATCCCTTCGTTGCATAATCTGCAGCTGAGGTCTCCATTGTACAGCCCCATTTTATTCAGGTGTCCTCTAAGCGGACAATGACCGGTCAGTAACCCTGTAATTATTCTGAGCCGGTCCCTACTATATTGAAGTAATTCTTCGGTTCTTTTCTCGGACGGTTCTCCAATGAAGGTTCTACACAGTACTCTGTGTGCTTCTTATTGGTCCATATCCTAATTTTGATACCCCTAGAGCTGATTCAGGACCTATATATGAAGTTGATGATCCGCGTCTAGCGCATTCATCAGCTTTTTCATTACCTGTGATTCCTGAATGCCCTTGCACCCAGTACAAAGTTAATTTGTTCCTGTTTGCAAGTTCATTCAGTTCTTCATGGCATTCCCAGACCAGTTTTGATGTCACCTTCGGGTTTGTTAGAGCCCCTAGTGCGCTCTTGCTGTCTGTNTGCCAAGCTTGCCCTGAGAATTATACAAAATTTTTTGAAAAGTACTTCCGGTCCCTTTTGAAGCATTACTAGGTATATGCCATAAGGTCCCGGCGACTTGTAGGGTTGAAATGAGTTTATATCCCATTTAATTTTCTCCGTATCTATCACCTTCTTTGTCGTTTGCCAGTCCTCCCTGGATGCCCTTTTCGGGGTCTCCAGTTCTGAATTCGCCCATGACTCCGGTGTTAGATTTGTAATTTCTGACCCGGGAAAGTGTACCCAGAAAAGCTCTCTGATAGTCTCTTCTCCGGTTTTTGTGTACTCCGCCGTATTTGTTTTCAAATTATTTATTGAGACCTGAGGTTCCTTCGAGAGTATTTTGTAGAGCCTGGAACATGCTTGGGTATGTTCGACCTCCTCACATTGCCTTCTTCACGTATCTCTCTTGGATTTTCTCAGGACTTTGTTATACTCAGTTAGGGCCCTTCTGTATTGGTCCCATGAACCTCATTTCCTTGCGCTTTTGAAGGCTTTTCTAGTTTTTTGTCTCATCCATGCCATATCTTCATTCCACCAGGGCACATTCCTGTTTGATCTCTGATTTACTATGGGGCAATGTTCGTTGTACGTAGAGATGATAGCTCCCTGTAATCGATCTGCTGCCAACTCTAGGTCAATGGAATCTCTGATGTCAAAATCCATGCGGTATAAACAGGTTTCCAGGTCTACCGTATAGGCTCCCCAGTTTGTTTTCCGGGGATTTTGATATGTTACGATCGAGGTCTGAATCCCTCCGATTTCAAAGTTTATGTCTCGATGGTCTGAACAACTTTCCTCATCGGACACATTCCATTTCCGAACGTAGTTACTTACAAATGTAGTTCCTATCGTTACGTCTATCACTTCACTACGTCTCGCATTTACGAAAGTAGGTTTATTGCCTATGTTCAAAATGTCCAAATTATTTGCCATAATAAACTGTAGTAAGTGCTCACCTCTTTCATCGCAGCCCATTATAAAATTATCGCATCGTCTAGTCTAGTCTCTAGAGAAGGCATGATAAAAATGTTCATGTAGTGAAAACAACAAAAAAGATTTCACAATAAAACACACGACTATGTGGTTGAATTCGAGTTTCGAGTTTGTTTTCGAAACTAAAACAAGTTTATTATTCCTGTTTTTGAACACGAATCTAGTTGCAAATGATTCCGTTTGGTGGAAATCCGCCTCAATTATACTCACTCCGGTTCCCGATAATGAAAACTCAGGTTTTGCCAACCAAATTTCAATGGAATGAGATGTTTTTACCCCGCTTGTGACTTTGTTCACGAGATGGTGCCGTAACTAGTTACTGATGTTATTGTTACTAGCTGTTACTAGACGAAGATTTCATACATGCAGTCGAGCCGCGTTGAAATCAATCGAGTCCCAGACACACTGCTGTTTGGATTGGATTTTTCCTGCACTGATGAGATGTAATACCACAAAAAGGGTCTGTAGGTGATCTATTTGATTGATTAAAGCGTGTTCCTACTGCTGAATGAACGAGAAACATCTGTAAGATCAACTTGTGTGAGGTATCTTGCATGAATGCCTACCGGATATAAAAGATGGTACCCAACCGGCTTTCCTTCTGGACGCTTTGATTGAATAAAATAGATAAAACCATTATGTGGTATGAAATACATTTGGAGAATGATGTTCCACCCAAATTCTGGAGTATTAGGTACTTATCTTTTCTTCATCGGGGAGGCTACATAGCTCCATACTCCATAGCTACATCGGGACACCATGCGAATGCTGACGACTCCTGATTCGCACTTTTGCTGGGTTGTTCTTTTAGGTCCGCATTCTTCTAATTGGTCCACGTTGCTAGCAGAAACACACAGTGTGCTCCTCAGAAGGGATCCCGAAGCCATATTATTTAACCAGATGGACATTTTCTGAAAGAATGGAACGATCAATTGAATTATAAAAAAAATAATTCAAAGGATTTTATATGAAACACTTAAAAAGCGTGCATAAAAATACGCAGATATATTTCACGTAGAAACTGACAGAAAATATGAATTCCAAAACAGCTACTTTCTTTTATGAATCCCAAACAGAAATCACTTTTTCCTTCTCAATTTATAGAAACAACATTCGTAATATAATATTCAGTTGAATATCAACCATGGGAAAAGCTCAAAACTAAATGAATGAATGAAAGAATATCCATATGGAATTTTGTTCGCAAAAAATTCCTCAATTCTCATTATTCTACAATTTTACACCACATGAATTTTGATAGTGATAATGAAATATATTACAATTTTCCACAAAATGAAAGTTAAATCATCTAAAGGAACGATTTGTTCAGGCACGATTTCCTTCACAGTATCATTCCTTAAACTAGGCTGAAGCGGACAACAAACAATAGATTTGTCATCGCCCCATCTGCCTGTAAAGGAGGTAACCAACCGCATATCCAAAATTTGCCCAATTCCTCGTATAAGGTAAAAACTTCACATATAGTCAGTGGGCATACTTGAAGACTAGCTACAAATCAAATCATCTAAAAATCTAAAGGAACAATTTGTTCTGGCCAGTCTCAACTTCCTACAGTTATTTTAAAATCAAAAAATCGATTTCGAAAAACGAAATACTATTGACCTATAAGTAGGTATGAACATCTTCCCTTACAAAGATGCAATCTTTGGGGTCAATAGAAAACTCAAACCATAGAAAACTCAAACCTTTCTCGTCCGATTTCAAAAAGGGTTCCTACATTGGTCTGTTGCAAAAGTTTCGACATCGACCGCAAAATGGGAAATCGCTTTCTGACTTTTTTACAGTTTTCCTTGCAAGACAATAACAATGTTCAGTCCAGTACCACTGATGAAACCTATGGCAGGCGAAACAACGCTGTCTGGTGTTGGACCTCGAATGGTCTGCTTTTGGAATCTGGTGTCATCTATTGTTGATTTGTTTATATTTTTGAAAACATCGTTTTTACATCGCCTGAATATTACTGGAGTTTTATAACAACACCAAACCGTTATTTTAACACCTCGACACGTGTTTCGATCACCAAGTGATCATCTTCAAGAGGAAAATTAAAATATTTAACAACACCAACACCAAACCGTTATTTCAACACCTCGACACGTGTTTCGATCACCAAGTGATCATCTTCAAGAGAAAAATTAAAATATTTAACAACACTAACACCAAACCGTTATTTTAACACCTCGACACGTATTTCGATCACCAAGTGATCATCTTCAAGAGGAAGATTACAATTATTAACAACACCAACACCAAACCGTTATTTTAATACCTCGACATATGTTTCGATCACCAAGTGATCAGCTTCGAGAGGAAGATTAAAAGATTTAATCTTCCTCTTGAAGCTGAAAATTAAAAGATTTAATATTCCTCCTTTCCAAACGGTGCATAACATTAACATCGCCTGCTTGAAAGCTGACGTGTGTAATTTCCAAGGATCTAATTATTCACAGCAAATTTTTTGTAAATTCTTTTTTTTTCTTTTGTAAAAAATATGTACCATTCACAATTTAAATTTCATTTACTGATTTTTTCATCTTAGGTTTCCGTTTATTACCCATCTCTTGGAGTATCTGTGAAAGCGCCTTCCCATAAGTACTACGGAAAACTTGAAGGAATTTGCGGAAATTGTAATGGAGATACAGAAGACGATTTCAGGACACCTACTGGAGAGACACCGAAGGACGAAAATGACTTTGGTCTGAGCTGGTTATACGAAAATCTCCCTGGAGGACAAAGCAGAGATAAATGCGAGAACAAGGAAGACCTGTGTTCAACTTCATCTGTTGATTCTGACGCATGCAGCCAACTTATTGATGTGAATAAATTTGGGCAGGTTAGTATCAATCTAAATGAAAAAATAACATGGAAAGTTTTTTCTGTTCTCTCATTTTGTTGAAGTCAACATTTTTTATTGCGATTTTTCTTTATTGCAAAGCTTTTTATGTCCAAATAAATTGACAGTATCTTGATAAGTGAGTGAATTATCATTTGGTTCAGTTCAAGTTCAGCTGTCCAAAGGCAGCTTGTCAGTCGAGTTGGCTCAAACATCCTGTTACGCAAAAGTATAACTGAATTCCACCACGATCCAAACAGGAACTCACTATTCGAAACTAATACATTTTATTGTATGACTGTCACTATAAATGGTTTTACAAAAACCGCGACACGTGTTTCGCTATACAATAGCTTTCTATTGTATAGTNAAAAACCGCGACACGTGTTTCGCTATACAATAGCTTTCTATTGTATAGTGAAACACATGTTATGGTTTCTGTAAAACGCTTTATTGGAAAATCATACAAAAAAGTGTTTTAATTACTTTTAATATGGATTTTAATCAAGTATCGGGTAGTTCTATTCAATGATATGAATTTTTGTAAAGAAATTAGAGACACGTGTTTTTCATCAGTATGCCAACTCATTCTGCCGAAACGACCAAAATGAATCAATTTCAAAGATACACTGTCCAAACTCACTCAAAGACGGATCCAGGAGAGGTCATGGAGGTCATGACCTCCCTGGACTGGGTCGAGGACCAAAGAGGACCACTAATTAAAATTGTTAAACATAATGTTTTTTTATATGTTTTGTCACAATATATATTTTATTCAAGTACATTCAATATTTGATTACTTTAATATAATAGTTTGTATGACGGCTTTGACGGCAAACGCATTATTCGGCAACAAACGCATCGAAAATTTTAATTTTACCGCGCCACCGCCACGGCCGCCACCTTTCATGTCACATCACATTTAAGTTCATTACTTAAATTTAATAATAAAACATCTACTTTTTACTTATATGTGACCCCCTCTTGAAGCCGTAGTAAAAGTAGTACCTTTTTACCTGAATTTCACCCGACCTCGATAGCTTGTTCCGTTCAAAAGCTAAGGAGGGGAGAACTTTTTACGGCCTCACTGTATAGTGTTGGGAGTGGCATAATACCAAGTTGAATAAAAAGAGGACAACAGTGGTCTTTGTAACCTGCTTTGACTATTATTCTTATGCCTTTTTTCTGGCACCTGAAAACATTAATGGAGATACCTGAATTACCCCAAATCAAAATACTATATGATATAACTGAATGAAATAATCTTTTCAGCGTTATCAAGCTGACCACATCATTTAATCGTCTCAGAATAAACAAGACAGTGGAAAGTTTGCTAGTCACAGCTTTGGTATCTATCTAATAGGGAATATGTTGGCCACTGATTTTATCATCTGTTTAAATCTGTTTCTCCGTTAATCAGCTGTCGCCCCCATACGAACGACAACTCTCAGAAGTTGAGAAACTTGTGCGAGCTAAGAATTAACGAGGTCCTACCTTTCAACGTGTGATTCCTAACACGGTCGTATATATCGCGAGAACTACTATCCTTGAGAGATTTTATTGTATCAACTACTTCCTGACGACAGACAGGCTCCAGAAAAAAAGATTCGCATGGTGATGGAAAGCTCTTCAAGTTATTTAGGTCATTAATTAAGAGATCAGGAAGAGCTGTAATAAACTGCAGAAAAGTCATTTAAGCATTGTCATTATATCTCTACTGGTTTGTTCACAAGTATAGGATTCCTTTCACTATTTATTACAGTCCAGCAAGCTTTGGTAATATTACCGGAGCTTAAAATATAATGTTCATTGGCTTCTCTTTTTAGTTTTCGTAACTGGACCTTATGTATAATCTTTCTTCAGTGCCCTGAATGCCGCCATATAGTATGGATTTCGAGACATAACTGCTGCGTTTTTTGCAACCTTGGAAGTGATTCTCATTTCCTTGAGTATATCATCAAACCCTGTTAATTTCAAGTTTTTTTTGTGGATGTACGTTTCTTCGGTATTTTGTCAAAAGTCATCAACTTCGACAAATTTTGTGAAAAATACTTATTTTCTGTAATAAAACTAAAATTTAAATATACGAAATTAAATTTCATTTTTTTATACTATTATTTGTGTCGCGGGCGACTGTTTTTGTCAACAACGAAATGTCCTGTCGACAGGCGAAAATATCGAAATGTGTCGGCGTTTTGTCTGTGCGTTTTGTAAACAGAGTTTACTATGTGTTAACGGACGACGACAGCAATAAGAAACTATTCAGATATAACATATCTGTAATTTGTATTATGTTTTGGTCCCAGTACATTCAACAAGTTTTGGGCATTCCTATAAAATTACGAAACGATGATTTCAGTTCCATTCATTCCTATATCATCATTTATCAAATCTACCATAATTTTATCCGCTTCATAATCTATTCGTCTTCTTAACAATGATTTTATCTAGTATCTTGATTTTTTTCGCTTTCGCTCAAAAAATTGGACTATAAAAAAATCGCAGCCCATTATAAAAACATCTCATTATCTAGTTTAGTCTCTAGAGAAGGCATGATATAACTGTTCATGTAGTGAAAACGGCAAAAAAAACATTTCACAACAAAACAAGCGACTATTTGGTGTAATTCGAGTTTGCTTTCGAAACTAAAATAAGTTTTGTATTTCTATTTTTGAAAACGAATCTAGGCGCAAGCGAGTCCGTTTAGCAATTATACTCATTCCGGTTCCCGATAATGAAAACTCAGGTTTTGCCAACCAAATTTCAATGGGATGGGATATTTTTACCCCGCTTGTGGCTTTGTTCACGGGATGGTGCTGTTACTAGTTACTGATGTTATTGTTACTAGTGTTACTAGACGAAGATTTCATACATGCAGTCGAGCCGCGTTGAAATCAATCGAGTCCCAGACACACTACTGTTTGGATTGGATTTTTCCTGCACTGATAAGAAGCAATACCTCAAAAAACGGTCTGTAGGTGATCTATTTGATTGATTCAAGCGTGTTTCTGCTGCTGAATGAACGAGAAACATCTGTAATCAACTTGTGTGAGGTATCTCGCATGAATGCCTGCCGGATATAATTAAATATCCAGCGTGCTGTTAGCCTGGAAAATAGTTGTTTTCCGGCAGGCATTTACCAGAACCTACTTTGAAAAAGTTGAATGTTTCAAGATTTCTTTTCGAAATATTTATCAAATAAATAATTCAAAAGAAATATATCCTATAATATGAATATAAATTATTTATTCAATCGTTGATTTTCTATGACTCATTTAATAAAATCTTTCAAATTATCTTCCAGCTGCCACATGTGATGCGCCGCTGGTATATCACGACTGCTACCAAAGAAAATGTGAGCCTACATGCGAATCAATCTCTGACCCAAGTGTCTGCCCGAAGGTTAAAAATGTGTGTTTCCCCGGATGTTACTGTCCTTCAGGATACGTCAGAAGAGAAGAGACTTGTATCAAACCGTCAAGTTGTAGAGATTGTGAATGCAATGTTCTACCCCATTTGAAATATGTTACTTATGATGAAAATAATTTCACGGTTACTGGCAACTGTGTTTATGTGATGTCTCGAGATCTCCTTCTGGGACATCAGAAAGAACATAAGTTCCAAGTAAGTTACAGTTTGAATATTATTTTAATAATTTATTTATTTACAATCGCATCTATCTCTTGGGTCATTAGTGACTTGTTGATATATTACATATCCATGAAGATTCAGAGAGCATGTAACATATTGGTATTTCTGAGGAAAGCTAATAGATTATTAATATCACATTTATCTCCTGATATGTCCTTTGGTGATGATGGGAAGCCATAATTTTGTATTCCGTTGTGATGTAACACGCACTCGGTTAAAATATGTTTTACACTATGAAAACTATCACATACTTCACATGGGGGTTCTTCGCCAAACAGTAGATATCCATGGGTAACACAAGTGTGGCCTAAATGACGACGATATAAAATGGCCAGGAGTTTTCTTTCGCTGAGGGTATTTTTCTTTCCAAGGAGATACTGACTGTTTTATCTCGTGAAGTTTTGATAACGAACCATTCCATTGGGATTGCCAACTATTGATCACCGTTTGCTTGTGAAGAAATTTCAGATCCGTATGAACGACAAGTGACACTGTATCTGTTAGCGGGTTAGTAACAGCCTCTGTCGCTAATTGGTCAGCTCTTTCATTTCCAACTATACCAATGTGTGAAGGGACCCACATAAACTGGATGAAAATATATTTTTGATGTAGTATGTGGTTATGTTAGGTTAGGTCCAACGTAAGTGGGCTCGACCACTCTCGACTAAATAAACCCAGCTTCTTAAAAAAGCCGATTAATTTGTATGGTGAGTGATCTTTCAGGTCAGATTCGGTCCCCAGCGGGGCAGGCACAAAGTATGTGATCTGCTGTTTCATCATTTTCCAAACAAAAGCAACACACACTGTCTTCCGACAGTCCGAGTCCCTGCTTATGATGATTCAAATGACAGTGACCTATAAGGCCTCTTAGACATCGTAGTTCATCCCTACTGTAGTCCAACAAATGTTTGGTATCAAGCCTCGAAGGGTGAATAAACACCTTTGAGTGAGCCAATCCTGGAAGATTCTGCCAGAAGTCCATAAATCTTCTTGCCATCCAGATGTTAAATATTTGTTTGGCAAAGCCTAAAGCGATGACAATGACAGGTTCTGGTCCGATGAAGCTGCTTGCAGCACCCTCCTTTGCAAGGGAGTCAGCAACCTCTTTACCTTCCAGGCCAGTATGGCCAGGAATCGAGACCAGAGACAATATGTTAAGTTTTCCTATCGAGGAGAGTCGTTTTTGGCAATTTGCTACCAATTTAGACGTTGCTCGGTAGGAACCAAGAGCTTCCAACGCTTCTTGACTGTACGAGAATATTTTTGACTTACAATCTCTCTGCACACAATTCAATAGCGTAAATTTGCGCTTGAAATACAGTCGCATAGGTTCCTAGACAGGTTGATATCTCTGTCCTGGGTCTGCGACTGAAAACCTGAACCAGAACCGGAAGGTGTTTTTGATCCATCTGTGAGCCAACAACTATCTGCTCTCAATATTTATTTCTCCTGGAGGATCCCGTCCTCTCTACTCGGGAACAGTACTTTATAAGGCAGTTCGTAGTTGACAGTTGGAGGCATAAAGTCAGAGGTCATTTCCGGAATGGTGTGACTTCCAGTATCAACCAAGAGTCTGTTGCACTCTGCATTAAATTGATTTGTGCAATTGGCAATGTGCACAAGTCTATATGTAGTCCATCTAGCCTCTCTCTCCAGGGAAATGTGGAGAGGAGGTAGATCTAGAAGGATATCCATGGCTGCTGACGGTGTGGTACTGATGGCACCACTGATGGCCAGACAAGTGTGTCTCTGTAAGCCAGAGAGCTTCTCATGGACCGTTCTCTGCAAAGCCTTCGGCCACCAGGCAATTTCACCATAAGTGATCATTGGTCTGTCAATCATCACATAATGGAGATACTGTTTTATAAGAAGCAAGATGGGATGATTGGTAAAGGTTGTGTCATTGCTTTGAGGGCGCTCAGTGGATCTATAACAATTAAGCATTTTGGACTACTCCTTTCCTCCATGTACTTCAATGTTCTGCAAGTAGCATATAATTCCTCTGTGAATATTGTGCTTTCTTTTGGTAATTTGAATGAACAGCTGAAGTCAGAGCTGGTGAAAGCTGCCCTCACACCCTCTTCCGTTTTAGATGCGTCGGTGTATAATGGAAAGGAGTCTTCGTATTGCTGCAGAAGTTGATAAAATCTTGCATGAATCAATCTGGGGTTTGTATTATTCTTATCAAATTATAGCAATCCGTATTCAATGTCGGCTCGTGGGATTATGTAGGGGAGAGATTGGGTATATTGAGAATTGAAATAGTACTTGGTTGTTGGAGAAGGAGACTCGAAAAGTACTGGTTGTATCTCTGGTAAAAAAGAAGGAGCTGCTTTTTTTGCGAAAGAGGTTCTGAAACAATGTGCTATTACATTATGATGTACCAGGTTTTCTAGAATGGACAGTATGGAAGCTGCGTAAGTGAGGGTGATACGCTTCCTTCTATTGGCTAATGATGGTTCGCCTGCTTCGCAGTATCAGCTTTCCGTTGGACTTCTGTAAAACGCTCCGAGGATATTTCTAATGGCGTTATTGTAGATAGTATCCAGTTGTTTCGACATTCGAGTTCGCCTTCACAGAAAATTATGATTGAGGTGTCATTCAAATAGTTCAAAAGTTATAACCAAGTGAGTTGAACAAAAAAAGAGGTATTCGTTTATTGGAGATATTGTAAAAAAAATTGATATAGGAAAAACATTATACGGAATGATACATTAATTGTTTAAACAATAAGAATAGTGGAACAAATAATAAAACAAATTCGTTATATTTGAAAAAATAATTTTTTTATTAATTTTACCTGTATCATCACCACTCAAAGTGAATTTATAAAAGTTTTACTACAGTTCCGGGAGAACTGTATTGGCAAATTTTCTGTTCTTTGAGTATCTTTTGGCTATCACCAATAGTTTTTGAGATATTCGCAAGAAATCAATACCTCTTTTTTTCAACTCAATTGTTTATAACTATTGAAGTATTCGTTAGCCCAACTAAATTACCTAAATTACTAAATTACTGTGGGTAAATTGTAAGTCGAAAGACATCTCAATTTCAACTTTCAATGATGGCGAACTGAAGTTGAAGAATATATGGAAATAACTTACTTATTGTCTTCACATTTTTCAGGTTCTAGTTACCAATCATCCATGTCAGAAGAATAAAGAGAAAATGTGTGTTGGAAAAGTAACATCTCATGGCTGCATTTGGACTCACAGGTATATTCAGATCGACATTATTCTCAGTTGCAGCTCTTACTGCAGCGTCAGCTTTCTCATTACCGTCAATTCCTATATGACTAGGAACCCAAACAAATATGATCGATTTTTCTTTGGACTGGAGACAACTCATCAGTGTACCTTATAATTTTTAAACATATTCAAGTAACAGTTTATTGTGAGAACAGTTCACAAAACCGCAACAATTGTTTCACTCTACAATACCTTCCTCAGTGGTGTTCTTACTAACTTAGTCACATTTCAGTGTTTGAACGTGTTAGATCCATCTCTGTTCTTGGAATGGTGCAGAAAAGATACATGTGGAGGCCATCCGGAACAATCATGTGCAGCAATCGAAGCTTTTGCCAAGGACTGTGCCAGTAATGGTTTTTGTATAAATTGGAGAAATGAGTTCTGCCCTCCAAAGAGCTGTCCTACCGGCCAATTTTATGATCCATGTGGAACAAGTTTTCCTGAAACCTGCGAGAGCATCAAAACAAAAAATAAGAGTGTAAAGAAACATGGTATTCCTCAGGAAGGATGTTATTGTCCTCCAGACAAGGTAAGTTGTCAAATGATCAAATGAATATCCCTCAAATGAATCAAAATAGATCCTCTCATAGCTTTTAAGTTTTATTAGTTAGTGCATATAAGAACTACCTAGAAGTAGAATATCAGACTAGACAATTCAAAAAATACTAAATTCGTTCAAGAATAATGTACCTACTAATATTTTGAAAAATATAACAAAATATTACTGAGGAGAATTCTTTAAAATAAAAGAAATATGATCAAGTTCAAAAAAAATTCATCATTTTATGGAAATACTCTTGGTATTCCGAATTACCAACTTTCGATTAATTCAAATACTGCTGCAACATGCCTACCACTATTTAAAGACTTGTATATGTTTTCTAAGAATCTATAAGTTTGGAACCTTTGGTGTAGTAATGAATATTACTGGAGTTTTATCCCAACACCAAACTGTTATTTTAGTTTAGTTTCAGTTTAAGCTTCCCCTTGAAGATGATTACTTGGTGATCGAAACACGTGTCAAGGTGTTAAAAATAAAGGTTAGGTGTTGGGATGAAACTTCAGTAATATTCAATCTACAAGTGAATAATATGTGAGTGGGGTTGCCGTTGCAAGTACCATGTTGAAAATCAGAGAGGATCCCAAATCTTGATAAAAATTTTAGTACTACTCAAACAACTTTGAAAACTGCTTAGCATGGCCACGGAACGATAGTTTGTAACATCTGTTGTTCCACTTTTTATGGACCGGTATAATCATCGCTGTTTTTAGAATTGATGGAAATTTGTCATTTGATAATGATGAAAATAATTTTAATAATCATTTATCTATTAACGTTTATTGATGAAAAATTCAATGTTTATAGGGGGACATAAACAAAAAAAATGAGCAAATAATTGTACATGAACAATCAACATTATTGACGAATGAATGTTATAATTTAATCAGAATTTAACCTCAATTTATGAATTATTTGCGTCCTCAATGAAATCAAATTCAGATATTCCATTTTTATTTTTATTTCTTGAACTTTTTTTCCGTAATCAAACAGCATATAGTTTTAATCTACCTTCCAAATTCATTTTGGGAAGAGAATCAACATATATGATATCGAGTATTCCATATAAACAAATTATTTTCTACCTACTAAATAATTTTGGGATATCATAATGGCTGAAAATCAATTAGAAACGGTCATAATTAGTTTTTACGTCATTTCATTTAGGTAAAGAAAGAAAATGAAAAACTGAAATATACATTAGTTCATATCCAGCACAAAACATTTCCATTAATGTTTACTCCAAAGTTCGTTTCAATAAATTTTAGGTCCTTCGCAATGATACTTGTGTAGTACCAAAAGATTGTATAGTTTGTGACACAGAAGGCCATCACCCTGGAGACAAATGGAAAAAGGACTCTTGTACAAACTGCACCTGCGAGGGAACTTCTCTTAAATGTGAAACTCAACAATGCCCTGACCCGTCTACTATTTGTGAAAGAGGTTATAATGCCATCAAATTACCAAAAAGTGAAGAGGAATGCTGTGATAAATATTCTTGTAGTATGTTGAACATTTTTTCATTAATCTAGATCTAGATGATCTAATTCAATTTGAATCATTTTTAGTACCTGAGCCGACCAGTGCACCGACTTGTGAACCTCCACAGAAATTAGTCTGCGGAAAAGACCAAATATTGAAACTAGATTCGAAATTGAACGGATGTCCAGCATTTATCTGCGAATGTAAACCGAAAGAAGAATGTGAGCCTATTGACGAATCAACAGATACACCGCCAGAACCAGGGTACTTGAGAGTAATTGATGAGAGTAGTTGTTGCCCTGTATTGAATTTGATCTGCAAAAAGGAAACTTGTCCTCTTCCGGATGAGTGTCCCGAGTTTTATTCCCAAACCAAGACTACAGACGAGAGTAAATGTTGCCCTATTTACTCCTGTGAGCCACCCAAAAATAAATGCATATATGAAACCGAATACAAAGCTGATGAAAAAGGAGGAGAAAAAGCGCTGACTGAATTCGAAATACAAAAAGTCCTCAAGGGAGCCAATGAAACGTGGAAGGATGGCCCTTGTAGAGAATGCAAATGTATACTCAACAGTATGGGTAAGTTCAAAAACCAGGAAATCACTGAAAGCAGCGCTACTGCGAATAACAAACTATAATTTGTTAATAGAATCTTGAGAATGAAAATGGCACTTATATTCTCTATAAAATTTTACCTAACGACTTCCTTGAAAAATAGAACCTACTGTGTGATATATATGTACGTACTGCTAAATGATAATTCCAGAATTTTGGAAACCTTAAGGTTATCATAGTTAACCGCATATTGCCAAATTCAGAATAAAGCAGTGCTTCGTTTATTACGTAAAATGTAAGCTGTCATTTCTGGAGAGAGTGGCGGCCTCTAGTAGCTATGTTTTGTAATAGACCTTTTGATCTAGTTTACAATGAATTTTTCATTATCTTTCTGTTTTTTGAATAAGCAAAAATATTGCTTATAAAAGGCATTGTGGGACACCCTGTATTTTGAATGTACTTAGGTACCATTTACTTTTCATATAATAAAGTAGGTACTCAGGTGTACAGAGCCAAATTTTTTCCATTTGATCAAATATTCATTTCCTAGTACACCACTTTTGATGGAATCACCGTATCGAAAAAATTTATTTTAGATAAAACAAGAGATGGTACCCAAACGGCTTTCCTTCTGGGCGCTTTGATTGAACAAAATAGATAAAACCATTATCTCGTATATGAAATACATTTGGAGAATGATGTTCCACCCAAATTCTGGAGTATTAGGTATCTTTTCTTCATCGGGGAGGCTACATAGCTCCTCCCCAAGCTCTTAGACAAGATGTTGAAATAGCTAGGGATAAGAGTCGTATCGAAACACCATGCGAATGATGATTCTTGATCCGCACTTTTGCTGGGTTGTTCTTATTGGTCCGCAATCTTCTGATTGGTCCACGTTGCTAACAGAAACACACAGTGTGCTCCTCAGAAGGGATCCCGAAGCTATATTATTCAACCAGATGAATATTTTCTGAAAGAATGGAACGATCAATTGAATTTGATCTCCTACCTTCATCCTTTTGTCGGATGAAAAACAGACAACTAAGTTTAAAAAAATCGAAAGAGTTGAGGTCCGTCATGATGAGCGTAGACTACACTATATCAAGGAAAAAATCTAACGTTTCGACAAATAAATGAATAAAACGCTTATTCTAATTTGGAAACTTCATTCAATGATTCATAATTAAATTTGAACACTATACTTGAATTACACTTTATAGATATAGAGCGTATTTCACTAGTTCATTATTGCTCGTTGTATGTCCGAACTAATCTACGTTCTGAACTAATCTAATCTGCTTCTGCCCACTTTGAAACATTCTCGAATGTTCTTAGGATTCTTCACGTTCGTTAGAGAATCAAACGTGTTGCCATGGTCATTATTAACGTCACCTTCTTACCTTCTCCATGAGCCTATCAATTTATCATTTCATTTCAAAGATCCTTGAAACTAAAAACTTATTAACACCTAATTTTTTTAAGGAACCTATCAACCTTCATGCTCGGTTACTGACTGTCCATCCATCAAAAGTCATCCTGACTACGCCGAATTCGAACTTGTACACCAATTGGTGTACGGACAGTGTTGTCCAGACGTGAAACGCTCAGGATGTAAACACGATGGAAAATCTTACAAAATCGGCGAGAAATGGACGAACAAAGATGACTATTGTACGACCTTCCACTGCGTAAATTCGACGACGGGGGTCCAGAAGGAAACCAGGGTGAAAAACTGCGACAAAAAATGCGATGTAGGATTCAAATACTTCGAGGCATTACCGGAGTCGAAAGAATGCTGCGGTTCTTGCAAACAAGTGGCCTGCGTAGTGGAGGGTACCGTGAGGCAGATAGACGAGGAATGGCAGTCTGATGATTTTTGCATTAATTACTTCTGCGATAAAAGCAATGATACGGTAAGGAATGAAAAGATAAACCAATGTAAATTTCAACGGGAGATAACTGTGTCAAAGCTATTTTCCAGGTTTATAGGCCGTCAGTAGCTTTTAATGCTCGAAGTTTCGATTACAACTGGCGGTAAGACAACAAACGTAGTGTCCTATTTGTCATCGCCGCACGTACTACGTCCTTCGGGGTTCAAATCTCCGGTTTTGTTTCATCGTGGTAATGGATTCGTTTCTATTTGTTGATTAAATTGGCCTAATCTGTTGGTTGTGAAGTGCGGGTATCAAGAAATAATTTATGTTAGTTAATTCTCTCTTTTTTTCATTCAGAATTCTCCTTGTGTTTGGAATGACTATCGCCTGTTCAAATGCGATATCATAAGTGGCTTCTCTGACGACAAATTCTGCTGGTTTTTTGGTATGCACAAGACAATTTATTTTGTGTTCATATAGAGATGGGTTCCAACATAGTTCATTTATAAGCAGAAGCTCAGTTGCAAGGGGTCTTGAAGTGATGTTACTGGAAACGTCTGGAAATATTTTGTATTGACGGGTATCATCTTGGAGGTTTCCTACCCGTTACCTTGCAAGACATTCTTTAAATTGGAATTGGCCGCGGTGGTAGTGCGCCCGACTCACGATCGGAAGACCGTGGGTTCGATTCCCGCCTCGACCAGATATTTTTTTCGAGAGAATTTATCTGATTGAAGCTGGAATGATTCTGCAACCGTGTTAGGAAGCATACGTTAAAATGTAAGATCTCGTTAGTCCTTAGCTCGCACAAGTTTCCCAACTTCTGATAGTCGTCGTTCGTATGGGGGCGACAGCTGATTAACGGAAAAACAGTTTTTTTTTAACAGAAATGTTTCCTGTTTTATAAATACATCGAAACATCTGAACTAACATTTCAATCATCTTTTTTCATTATTGTGGCTAGTGGTTGGAGTTTTTATTTAGATATCCATCTCTAGGGTTTCAATTCTAAACATCCTTTGTCCCAATGTATCTTCACGTTTGTTTAAGATGGGGTCGTCTTTCATTAAGCGCTTCCTATCTTCAAATTTGAATAAAACAAAGTGAATGTGAGATATTATTGAAATTTTTCATAAGTTTGAAAGACCATTATATGTGGAATGTAACGTCGTTCAAATATCCGCCACCGCTTCTCTGGATGGAACGCATGCGCATAAATCAGGCTGAGGACGGCTGTGGTTTGTCCCTACTTAAAAAAAACACAAAAAAAGTCCAACGCGGTCAAATCGCACGATCTAAGTGGCCAGTTAACATCACCATGCCCTCAAATAGCTCGTGCAGAATATCCAATGTGACATGAGCTTTGTGGCACGTAGCGCCATTCTGTTGAAACCATATGTCGTTGGTGTCCAGATCATTTAATTTAGGCTAAAAAAATGGCAATCATCGATCTATAGTGCTCGCCATTGACAGTGATGGCCTGGCCAACGACGTTCTCAAAGAATTATGGACTGATGATGCCATCAGCCCAGAATCCTCATCAAACGGTGACTTTTTCGGGTTGCATTGGACGCTCTTGAATCTCATGTGGATTGATTTCTTCCCAAGTAAGACCAGTTTGTTTCGTCGCGAACGCAACGCCAAATCGACTGCCTGGTATTCTCCTGCACAATCTCACAGGTAGCAGATATATTTTCGGCAGATCTTGCCTTTCTTCGACTTACGAGTGACGGTCGATCGTTCACTAAACCAGTGGACTCAAATTTATCCACCGCATTGTGAATAGTCATCTCGGTAGGACGATTATGGCGAGACGTAAAATGGGCGAATCGGGCGTACGTTGCCCGAACAGAACACCAATTTTGATAAAACAATTTCATTATTTGCACGTGTTATTGAATACTATATCCGTTCATGGTGATTTGGCAAAACAAACTGAATAAATGACAAACTGTTCCGAAGTTTTTTCGTCCTATTCTGAATTGGATTTTGATATTGAGGAAGTTCGGATGTTTGAAAAATACCATTAGTTTAATTATCAATTGGCTTAAATTTCACTTCTGATCATTCATGCTCATAAATCGTTGATTGACTTTTTGATAAGATTATTGAAATGATCCACCGTTGTCTCGGTAAAAAGCCATAACTCTTACCATTTCTGAGTTAACAGAATGAAATGGTGCGGCTAGGCATTACGCCTATTCATCACTTCAATAAGACTTCCTCATTTGATGGTTTATTGTACTGAAATAATCTGACCACAAAAATTTTGAAATAAGATATTTCTCTGAATCATTCAAACCTATTTCATTATTTGAAACTATGTTCTCTTCGATTACTTCCGAAATTTCATTTAGTGAATAAATCAGTACCTACTATGTGTAAGTGATAGAAATCTCAATTATTTTGATCTAAAATTATCAGTGCAGCTTCTAATTATTATTACTGTTGTAAATTATTTTTAATTTGCATTCGTGTTGGTAAATGATATGTGAAATGAATAAATTATAACAGAAATGAATGTATTATTCTTCATTTTAGATACAAGTTGCAGCGGTGGTTGTGACATGTCCAGATGTGCCTGAAGATTTAGTCAGAAACTATGTTATTCAAACATCTCCTATAGAAGGACAGTGTTGTCCTTTACATACTCCAGTTGCCTGCAAAGTGGAAGAGCGGGAATACGAGGTAAAATCTATCAATCAGCAAATTATCTTTTTTACATCACAGAATTTACAAGATTAACTTTTATGAATGTAACAGTCACTCATTTACTTAGTTATAGTCTATACGAAGTCAATCCGAACAGCTAAATAAAAGACTAATGTACCTAGCGGGTTTGATAAATCTACTAGTTATATACCATACATAGATAGATAGATAATATATTACCTTTTTGTGACATTTGTACAATGTATAGGTTCGTCACATAGAATACGAAATATTGTACAGTAAATAAAAATTGTATCACGCAAATATCACAAGAAACAGAATACATTGTTACATCATATTAAAAGATTAGACTCATCAATTTTCATGTGTGGTTCATATACTCATTCAGATCATAAAAACATCTATTTGAAAGAAATTTCTTCAATTCCACCTAGAACTTTTTTGGTGAAAGTTGCATTAGGTGATTTGGCAATAAATTATAGAGGTGAACACCCGCCCATTCTGGGGATTTTTTGTAGTAAGTGTGATTGAGTTTTGATTGATATAAGTGATGATTGTTTCGTGTTCTATACTGATGTATTTACGCCACGGCAGCCACCTTTCATATGTCACGTCACATTTAAGTACATTACTTAAATTTTATAATAAAATACCTACTTTTTACGTATATGTGACCCCCTCTAGGCGCCAATTGAAAATTATTTAAGTTTTTAATTTATTTGTAACATATTTGAAGCAAATTTCAAACGCGTGTCAGTTTGGAACGGCTTGGCTGATTTTCACTAACACAGCGGTTTTGGATAGAGACTAGGAAGGCCTTTAAAACCAGGAGCCAAGTGAGTCCCCTTTACATTAAAAAAAGAAGTTGATGGTGCCCTCTTGGCATTAACCCACGTGACCACAATTATTTTTATGCCAAAACGTAGTAAAAGTAGTATCTATTTACCTGAATTTCACCCGACCTCGATAGCTTGTTCCGTTCAATACTTAAAGAGGGGAGGACTTTTTACGGCCTCACTGTATAATGTTGGGAGTGGCAGAATACCAAGTTGAATAAAAAGAGGACAATAGTGGTCTTTGTAACCTGCTTTGACTATTATTCTTATGTCCTTTTTCTGACACCTGAAAACACTAATGGAGATACCTGAATGACCCCAAATCAAAATACTATATAACAGAATGAAATAATCCATAGTAGGCTCTTTTCAGCGTTATCAAGCTGACCACATCATTTAATCGTCTCAGAATAAACAAGACAGTGGAAAGTTTGCTAGTCACAGCTTTGGTATCTATCTTTTATCAACAACAAATCCTGAAAAATTATATTTTCAGTTGGATGAATATTTGGATTAGCAGATACAATTAAATTTGGAGTTTCATTTTCATTCCGAGTCAGCTTATTAGCAGCAAACCATTCATACGCTAATGTTTCGCTATCTCGCGTCATTAGTTGTAAGCGTTGTAAGCTGGTATTAAGTCTTTGCTAGAACATAATAGGGTCGTATCATCTGCAAACAAGTTACATCTTACTGGTTTTATGAAACTGCATGGATCATTGATATAGATCAAGAATAATAGTGGGCCTGAAATGGAGCCTTGAGGGACGCCATGCTTCATTTCTTTGAGGTCTGATTTTATGTTGTTCATTTCCAACATATTGGTACCTACCTATCTGTGATATAAGGCTGGACGAGCTTGAGAGCTATGCCCCGGACAGTATAGTAACTCATTTTTTTAATTAAAGTAGTATGCGATACACAGTCAAAAGCCTTTGTCAGGTCACATAGCGTCAAAGAAGAGTGCTTTCCTTGATAAAGTCCTTCGACTTTGTTGGAAATTAGATTGTAAGCTGCTTAAGTGGTAGACCTTTTTTCTCGAAAACCATATTGTGCACTGGTCAAGTAGAACCGTTTTTCAAAGAAAGAAAGAAAACGATTTTTCAAAATTGACTGAATTACTTTTCCAATTATAGATATTTTGCTAATTGGGCGGTAATTATCCAGTGAAAATTTAAAACCTTTTTTTATAATATAGATATCACTTTAGACACTTTAAAAACATCGAGAAGCATTCCCTTAGAAAAAAATTCGTTAGTTAATGCTTCTAGCGGTATTGCAAATATGTTGGCCACTAATTTTATCATTTGTTTAAATCTGTTTTTCCGTTAATCAGCTGTCGCCCCCCATACGAACGACAACTCTCAGAAGTTGAGAAACTTGTGCGAGCTAAGAATTAACGAGGTCTTACCTTTCAACGTGTGATTCCTAACACGGTCGTATATATCGCGAGAACTACTATCCTTGAGAGATTTTATTGTATCAACTACTTCCTGACAACAGACAGACTCCAGAAAAAAAGATTCGCATGGTGAAGGAAAGCTCTTCAAGTTATTTAGGTCATTAATTAAGAGATCAGGAAGAGCTGTAATAAACTGCAGAAAAGTCATTTAAGCATTGTCATTATATCTAAAAAATTTGTTTTTCTGAATTTGAAGCGTTGGACGGCTGCTCCCTCAGGCCATATGTTAGGATTGTATACCTCTTTGACATGGGCTAACGGAAACATACCATACCACAAATAAACTGCCAACGTTCGGTAACTATTTAGTTTTTATGCCATTCGAATTGACTTCGTATATACTATAATTGAGTTGTACATAGTTTTTCAAATCAGTGATAGATAAAATAATTTACCGAAGGAAAGTTTACTGCATAGGAAAATAAAAATGTTCTAATTTTTTTAGATTGGTGAAACTTGGCCTTCACCAGACGGAGATAAATGTAAAACATACAAATGTATCAAGAATGCAGACAATGAGACGAGAAAGCAGGAATCAGTTGAGACTTGTAAAAAGGAATGTAAAAAGGTAAGGAAAACTAAAAGATGTACATGTGAATATATAATTATTTACCATTGCATATACTGGCAACTAAATAGTTGCTCAATATCAGTTTCAAAATAGATTTTACCGAAATTCTTTTTAAATTGTACTTTACCATATGTTTATATGAGGATTAGGCAGTGTTTGTCCCAAGCGAACTACTTGCTAGTGAGTGATTTTTCGTACTTCAGGAAAAAGGTTCGTTGAATCCATTGAAAACTCCTCAGAACGAAAGAAAAAGATAATCAGATGTTATCAGGTAATCAAAATTTCGTATTTGACAAAAAATGTCTAAATTCATCAGTCTCTTCACGCAGCCAATTGAAATAACTTATTTTTCCATGAAAATATTTTGTCCGCAACTAACTTGGATGTGATTTCAAGAAATCATTTTGAGCCATCAGCATCTTCATTGATAATAATGAAGAAGTATTGCATTTTGATTATAAATAATCATACAACTTACATTTTTTATTTTTTAGGGTTTCAAATACGTCGAATCAAATACAACCTGTTGTGGAAGTTGTGTGCAAGTAGCTTGCTTGGTTGATGGAGACATAAAGGATCCAGGAGAAAGCTGGAAATCTTCAGATAATTGTACTACATTCACTTGCGATCAGTACAATGATCAATTCTCTGTAGTGTCGAACCAAGAAACCTGTCCTCGAATTGACTGTCCTGAGGAAAATACGTATGTCGAAGGATGTTGCAAATTGTGTAACATAACTTCATCTTCAATGGGTACGTACCATGAAACTTTTAAGATCATTTCCTCACTATTTTCTACGATTATTGGAAAATGCATAAATTTTATGACCGCGTCTTGATAAGATAGTAGTCAAAAACCTAAAACTCACACCTTCAAACTAATCACAGTGGACCAATCCATAACTCACTACCTCGAGGACAATTACAGATGAGCGAATTCATAACTTTACAATAGTGTTTCAATTAATTTCAATCGCAAGTGAACCTTTTGAATTTCTTCAGTCAAAAAATGTTCTCAAATGTCAAACTTTTTTATTGACATGTAGTTTTGATATATAGGTATAATATCTATCGAAAAACAGAAATGAAAAACATGGAGTCAGGAAGTGAAAACAAGTGTATCCCGCCAAAAACTTGTAATGTGACGAAAAATTTCATATTTTCTAAAAGTCCATCACTTGATAACAAAATGATAGTAATTAAAAACCCAAATAACTTTATGTCACACGAATTTGTTGTCTTCTTCATGGTATGTCACAGGTTAGGAATCATTCATTTTTCAAACTATTTGAAATTGATATAATAACGAAAATAAGAAATATTTTTGAATGTTTCTCTAGATTTCTTCTTGTTGTGAAATTCAGTAGTATTTCTTTCATTCGGGATATCTTTACAAATTAATCTTTTTTCAACTGTCATCCTTGACTCATCCTGTCTGGTGAGCTCATCCAGAGCCCAAAAACAAAGCATTCGTGATCCACTAACATAGAGTGCTGTTTCGACCCGTCAAAGGCCTCATCATTGGAGCTAGATTCAGCCACGAATGTATTCCTCCCCCCCCCATGCCCCTCCCGGGTTGTGTGCCCAGGTCGCAAGCTCCCTCCTTACGGAATCATTTCCGCAGGTTTGGACCTGACGACCCTTTCCTTCCACCCCCGTTTCTTAAGGAAACGGTCCTCAATCCAGCTACTATAGGCACTTCAGCAAGATTGAAATCTAACCTCTTTTGGGTTGGAAACCAGCCTTTAGGTGCTTTTATTTCCCTGTCTAACTTCGTGTTTTAATTATTATTTGGCTCTTGTTTGTCGCGGTATTCCTAACTGAATTTTTGCATAGGGGCCCCCAAAACTAACGGCGGCCAGAGCTATGGCAGACGGGCGTTTCTCAGTGAAGCTGAGAGAATGTGAGTTGAAAAGTGAAATCGCGGTTTTGCTGAAAGAGAATATATGGTTAGTACACTCTGGAAAATTATACTTACCGGAGCCGTCTGACGGCGACTCGCGGGGAGGCCTGTTGTTCTGGTCTATCGGTCTCTTGTATTTATCCCGTTCTCTGAACCTGGGGTCGTCCCTGTTCAGCGCTTCGTGCAGGTCTCGAAACGCCGGGTTATCTTGCGCTCTGATTCTTTCAAAAACGCTTTCTGCGTGTTTTCTCAGGTATGTGTCCACGTAATGGGGGTCCTGGTCCAAGTCTCTGTTAATGTACCTGTTTGACACGTATCTGGGTGCGTTTAGGGCGGCCCTTACCCACGCGTTCGTAAACGATTGTATGCTGTTTCTGTACGTCTGCGCGCAGTGTCCCCATGCTGCGCTGGCGTACAGTATCATTGGGAGGATTATTGTTCTGATCATTAGCAGCTTAACTTTCAGCCCCATGTTGGATTTGTGGCCTATAATTGGTGCTAGCCTGTGTCTGGCCGATCTCGCCATCCCGATTCTCTCCCTTACGTGAGCCCGGAATGTCAGTCTTTTGTCAAGGGTGACCCCCAGGTATTTGGCTTTTTCCTTCCAAGGAATCTCTTGTCCGTTGTAAAAGACGTGTCCTTCCGGTTGTGTGCGATGCCTCAGGTTGAACAATATCGCCTGACTCTTGTCAGGATTAATTGCGATCTTCCATCGGTTTGCCCATTTCTCTAGTCTATCTACTTGTTGCTGTAGGTACCTGGTAACGTGAGTTGCGCTGTTGGATCTAGCCAGCAGGGCCGTGTCGCCTGCGTAGAGAGCCAGCTTATTAATGCAGANAAGAGGTGTGGCGAAAGGACCGCGCCTTGCGGGACTCCTGCTTCTAGTTGTCGGGTTGTCGAGAGTTCCTCTCCCACTCTGCGGCGGAACGTCCTGTTTTCTAAAAAGGAATCGATTAACAGTTCAGTGTTGGGATAAATCTCCAGTAATATTCACCCTGAAGTAAGCTTCTTTTTCCTAAATTTATAAGGCCGTTGTTTCCCAGTCGAGCGCATTTGGCCAGACTTCAGTCCACAGTAAATAGAATCTTCGTTCAGGGGCGCAGCTATCTTGTTTCAGGCAATGCTGCCATCCTAAGTTTCCTCATTCTCTATTCATTTGATAATTCCATTTTTTTTACTACTGGACTTTCAGTCTTCTCAATATGACTTTCAGAAATAACACATCTATCGTCGCACTGATCACCTCACTTTTGTACCTCACTTCAACCACGACATCTACGATCAGAGAGAAAGTGCCTGAAGTTAGCTAGTCAATGGTATTCTTCAAATATTCTTTGTTTGCAAATGGTCTGTACTTATACACTTTTTGTTTCAGATAACCTCATAGAAAAAAGTCCATCGGAGATGAGTCCGATGCTCTTGGTGGCCAATAATCTTCCCAATCTCGTCCTTTCACTTTGACCCTAAACATCTGACTGAGACACTGTTTCACTTACACCGTTTGGTGGATCGGTGCCACGTCAAGCTGATACCACAAATTTCATCTAAAACTTTCAGGCAGATTACCCAAATCTTCAGAAAACTGATTCATAATGGAATTTCTGTACAAGTCTGCGTACAAATTGTCTCTGAAAAAATATGGTCCAATTATTTTGGTTATGTGATAACCCAAACCACTCTTTTGTTTGAATGAATATTAATCACAGCATTCTATCACAAAATTTGGATTATTGTTGGATCACCATCGACAATTTTGAGAATAAACTGTTCCGTTCGATATCGTGAAAGTTGCCTCGTCTGTCCATACAATCCAATAGGGAAATGCGATATCATTTTCTCGCTCACCTTGGAAACAAAATAAGAATCCTACTCGAATATTGAAATCTAAGTAAAAATGAACAGTAAAAATTGTAGGAACGCTAATTTGTGAAATGAACAAATTATTGTGACCTAAAATGGAAGTTGGCAACATCAAAAGATGATATGTTCCAGTTGAATCATTAACAATTTTATGCACAAATATTATTGTCTGGTATAAAAGTCTCTAGAATGAAAAAAAACTGAAACGCACTTTCATTTTCAAATGAAATTAAAAATACAAAACACTTATACATACCGAACCTAAATAAATAAAGAGGACATAAGCCGAAAATTACATCTTTTTTCATCTATTATCATGATTGTTTTGCTAGACAAGCTCGTCATCCGAAGCTAGGAGATATCAGGAAGGCGTACCAGAAATACCACGCCGTGGGGTGAGGGATCATTGAGTCCGTGAATCTTCGGCTCTGAGTATACATAGCCAACCAAAAATGGCGGCTTTTTAGATTTTTGAACAAGATACATTGTTATTACTATTATATTCGGTTTAATTTTCAGACAATTCATGAATTCATTACAGTGTATTTTTGAAACCATCTGTAAAAATAAAATCATGAAGAACTATTTCAAAATTATGAAATTTGGCATAAGTTATAATTATAAATTCACTGAATTCAACAACATTTATATTCATTTCTTGAAGAGTACGGCCTTGGGTTGATGTCTGAGTAAATTAATGTTTATACGCCCGTTTGTCATTTTTATCAGTTTAACCTTTTGTCGACATTTTGCTTTTTCGGATAATTCACTGAAGATATATTTTTTAACCCAGACACCTCTCTTTCTATATTTGTTCTCAACTCAATTACAACATATTAGTTTTTGCAAGTTCTCCCACATATACTTAGCCTTTTGTCTCCACAAAAATTCTTGGCTGAAATTTCATTGGGAAATGATTCTATCGCTATTTTCTGATATAATATACCTACCATTCATTCAAAAATGTAGCAATCAGGAAAGGACAAGTATACACAGAAAATTAACCTCTTCAAACTTTGTGTGTTTTATATCATTAGTTTTAATAATATTTTAAAGTGAATAAACGTGATAGAGTCTATGGCAAACAACATAACTGTAATTTCCTTAAAATATCATAGGGAAATAATTTGAGTTGATGTGAAACTTGTTGGTGGTCGAGTTGGAAAATGAAGATTATGAAAAATTCAAATGAACAAATAAAAAATTAAAATATCGGCCCCATTTAAGTACTAACTTGGATGCTGATAAAAATCTGTTGAGGAAGGAAAGTACATATTCTAGACAAGCACATTACTTTGACGGCAATCATCATGTATTATCAGTGACTGAAGATGGTGTTCATATCACAATAAGAAATTATTATTTCATTAGTTTTCAACACAGCATGGTCAATCACTATAAATACCACTTAATAAGGTAAAATGGTCCTGCTGCTGGGTGAACGAGAAACATCTGAGGGTCTAACCTCTGTAAAGTCCATTGGATGTAATGCAATATCTAGCGTGGTATTAGCTGTGAAAGTATATTTTTTGACACAAGATACTTATAACAAAAGATATGTGAATGTATCATTACAAGGTTTAACCATCCCTTGAACTACAATCTTTATATAATTCTTTATAACAGAACGTTAAAATTTATTCCTTTTTAGATGGACAAGGTGGTTCAGAAAAGGTGGGAAATGTGTAAAATAAGTAAATCGAATGGGATATCCACCCTTCATGACTTTTGAAAATATGTTAGTTCAAATTCTTTCTTTTTTCAGGTTCTGGAATGCATGAGTCTGTATGCTCCTGTTGCCAAACCGTGGAATATGGATCAATAATGGTGGAACTGACCTGCAAGGATGGAGAAAAGTTCAAGAAGAGAATAGCTGTACCGGCAAAGTGTGGTTGCTTAGCATGCGGCGAAAACTTGAACAAGAAGGGTTATTCAAAGAAAGCTCCGATCAAAATCGGTGGAATCTGGAATGTGGGATGAGATGTTAGATAAGATAAAATATTCTTCTTTATTATAATTTATCAGGTTGAAAAATAAATTGTTCATGAATGCAGTTTTGTCTATGATTGCATGAGTTAATTTCAATTCTATTAGGCCACTGCTCCAGATGAAAGGCAAATATAAAAAAGTATCACCAATAGCATCATTGATACAATCGGTACGAAATATCACTTTTTCCAGGATTTAAACATTTTCCATTTAGTATTCGTTAGAGTCTAATTTCAAGGCTCTTTGTATGAAAAGTTCACTCAAACTTTTTGGAAATTGTGAACGTGTTATAGTCATGACAAGTAACTTTTCTAACTCATCTATCATTGAAGTTCTTCGAAACATGAAGAAATCCTCATATTTAGGCTTAGCGAATGAGTGGCAAAGATTGTCACATTATTGAGAATTACTAGAAAACTATTTTGAATTTTTTAAGGAAATAAGAATCATCAAAACCATAAAAGCAACTCGTTATTATAAATATTCTTGTACACCAGAAGGCACCTATTATATTCAAGATTTGTTATGAATATTTTATGACTACATAAAATAGAATAGAAACAGAGATAGTTGGCAAAAGAGTAAACTAGGTGATACAAATGACGTATTGATGTAAATGGATTAGCTATCTCTGGCAAGATATGTTCCTGAATATATAGACCATGCCAGTTTGTGTTGCTGAAGGTTAACTCAGTTTCAATAAATTTAAACCGACTAAAACAATATTTCAGGCAGGATTTCAACAATGAATATTTGAAATTATAATTCATTTTTAGGCAACTGTTTTATGCTGTAGAGAAGCTGACAATTCAAACGCAATTGCTTATTTACTCAAATATATATTTCATAAAGCAATAAATGAAATCAGTTATTTATATAAGACAATAAAGAATATCTTCATAACTGTACAATAACAACTTGAAATTTTATTAGTTGTATCTATATTATACAAGCATATTCATAATTATATAAATATTTCAAATGTTATTAACAAATTAAAAAAAATATATAAAAATCAACGTTGCTCAGTCTTCTATAGTAGATATATTATCACTAGTTAGTGTATAAAGATGTTCTATGTACATTCTTCTGGCATAGTTGATCTGTTGGGAAACAGAAAGTGCCATATCAAAAGTCTGGCATCTCACTCGTGGTTTCTTCACGGGATCAGGATTCAATAGAACAGCACTAACGCCAGTATAATGCATTACAATTTCTATGTAGTAACGAACTTCATTGCCATTTTTTTCTGAGATAACATTACAAATTTCCAAATCTCTGTAAAAAATATGAATCATGAAGAATGTGTCGACAATAAAGTCGGCCGCAAGTTGAGACGCAGGTCGTGAGGTGACGCATGGTGAGTCACGGTGAGAAAAAACTGCGGGTGGGTGGACCCCCGCAAGTTGAAACGCAGTTTGAGCCTACAGTTCTCAGGTGACGTGTCTCTTGCCTTTCGATTTTCAAATGGATTTGGTTTATGAACTTTCAATTGATATCAGCTCCGAATCTGAGTCAGAAAATGATGAGGAGGTTGAATCGATTATTTCTGCTAGCTTCATATCGCTTTCCATTGCCACTTCCTCCCATATTGAACTTTTTAATTTTGTTCGCAAATAGTCCTCATGGCTAGTGTCGTACAAAACGCGACGATTTCTAACTGCCTCTATTAATTTTTCCTCCATTTCACTTGACACGCCGTGACTCACTGAAGAAATCTGCGGAAGGAGGACTGCATAACGCAGGGTCACGGACCGTGAAAACTGCGTCACGTCACCCTGCGTCGGAACTTGCGGGGTTCCTATCATTTATATGGTTCGCAGAAATTCAACGTGACTCACACTGCGTCACCTCACGAACCTGCGTCTCAACTTGCGGCCGGCCTAAATAACGTATATGACTGAACTGAACCCATCAGATACAATCAACACATTTTGTAACCAAGAAGGTTCTTTTTTACAGAAGCATGTGTATCTCATTGTTTAATAGAGACCAGCCCCGGCTCCGCCCGGGGCAATGCTGATACTAAATACACATATAAACGCGTTTGATCGCTGCTAATCAAAAAGGTGCTATTTATAGGTAGGCACCGGCTATTTATAGAAACGCGCCGCCGGTCGGTACCACCGCAATCGCTATATCCCTGCATTTTAAATCTGTAATATCTTCTGAAATATTCATGTAAATTACATGCTGTAGAGGGCCATATTGATCTATATTGAATGCACAATGTATTTAAGGTACTTAATTAAATAATGATAAATGCTGTATTGCTTAAAATCGCTTCGTAAAAAAGTAAAGGATAAAAAATTGTTATTGTGGGTCATACCTGAGGGACAGACGTATACATTCGCAGACTTTTTTGTAGACCTTTTTAAGATGTACAATACTTATTTTGCAGGGTTCAGCCATCCTTTGCAATGTAAGCGCAAAAGAATAGTTTTATTTACGACATTTAAAACCTATAAAATTATCAGTATTTCTCTACTATATTATGCATGTTATATACATATAAACCTTCCTCTTGAATATCTCTATTAAAAAAACTCATCAAAATCCGTTGTATAGTTTTAAAGATCTAACCGTACACGTATGGACAGACAGCGAGAAGTGACTTTGTTTTATACTATGTACTGATTTTATTTCAAGTCTATGATATTCTGAATTGATTTCAGATGTCTTTCCTAATTATTATTGTTGTTGTAATAAACGCTTCACACGATATTAAGAATAAAAATGTTTACTCACCCTAAAGCACATTCAATGACTGGAGTTAACTCGGGTGATCTGGTGTTAGTCACAATTCGTATCATTTTGTCCGAAACCACACAAAAAATGTCTTCAGATGCACTTCCAAGTCCTTGGAATGCTACCAAGTGTTCTTCAAAATTTCTGAAAATACAAATTTAATATACTCATTTCCTATATTAAAACAAGGAAAACCAAATATTCACAACAAGACATTTTTCCACATATGAAATCTTATTATTTTTTTCACCAAATAGATTATGATAGTTAGTTGTTAAGGATTTCATCCGTGTTTCCAGAAAAAACAATCTGAAATTTTTACTTTTCTTGATATAGATCACAACATTCCTGTATAAAAAACGAAATCATTTATCTCGAAAATATGATAGAACTGACCAATACTTGATGAAAATCCATTATAAATTATACAAAAAAAACACTTTGATGTGAGATTTCCACCCGAAAGATTACAAAACTGCAACACGTATTTCGCTATACGATAGCATCTTCAGGCGTTACAATACATATTGTGACGCCCGACGAATTTGAAGCAAAATTCTTTAGTTTTCTTTTCTTGGTGGAAATTGTCTATTCTCTGAAGCATTAGAAATTAAAAAGATGCACTGAATGAATATTCGAAATTCTTGATAGAATACTCATCATTCACGATAGCAAAAAAAGAGTACTAATTAAATAAATTATCAGTCCATAAATATACTCACTTTCCGTTCAGAGCATAAAGATACTGCTGACCTTGGCTTTGTCTGAAGTCATACTTTGGTAAGAGTCTACCAGGTCCATTGGCACACCTTGGCAATCTTATCCTTTCAGGCACTAATTTACTGAAAATAAATAAAATAAACTGAAAAAATATAGAAAAGAGAAATTTATTCATTCTTGAGAATTCTACGAGGTCATATAGTTACAGATTTTTTTTCAAGACAGTTTTTTATCAAATGAAGACAAAACATCAAATGAGGTGATTGTAGCAAGTTTGGACTTCCATTGTCTAAACTCATTTTAAATCTTTGAAAGAACGATAAAGTATAAAAATGAATTAAATATTAAAATCATTGAAAATACTAAATGTACTGAAAATAACTGGACCGAAATACTTGGTTGAGTTGAAACAGAAGTAAGGTCAAAAACAAGAAAAACTCAAGTAAAAATGAACAGTAAAAATTGTAGGAACGCTAATTTGTGAAATGAACAAATTATTGTGACCTAAAATGGAAGTTGGCAACATCAAAAGATGACTACAGAATCATATAACTATTTTGACAAACTCAATATACAACAAATGAATTTGAAAAATCAAATTTATGAATTACAAAAGTGATTCACATAAAATTATTATTCCTCAATGCTCGATTAATGAAAAACAAAATTCAGGAGTTCAAAATAATCTCACCGCTGATTAAAAGAAATGAAATATTCATTAGGAATAATATTCAGTATAATCCAATAAAAACATTGAAAATCTGCTGCTGCTCAAAATAAAATATCACTCTTAGTATTTAAACATTTTCTACTTCATGTCTGTCAGTCTATTTTTGAGGCTGACTGTATCAAAAGTTCTATAGATCTTTTTGGAAATTGAGAACATGTTATACTCATGACAAGTAACTTTTCTGATTCGTCTATCATTAATGTTCGTTTAAAACATGAAATGGATATTGAGTGAACTACAATATAATAATTAAAACTGCTACCAGAATCGTTTGAGCAATTTTTTATATTAGTGAGCACAAACGCACAGAAAAAAATTATAAAAATCACTGTATTGGTATTTCTATTGCATTTATAGAAAAAAGTGTTGAAAATCTGATCTCACTGAAACAGAAAGAAAATAGTTTCCACTTTTTTTTCAACACGTAAAGGTAATTTCCATTTCCATAAAAATTGGGGGAATGACACCTCCATTTAGAGGGTTGAAGATGCAATAGTTGTTAGGTCAAAATTTGTGTCCCTTACAAAAAACCGACGTAGTTTTGAATTTTTTAAGGAAATAAAGCAAATCCGTAGTTATAAATATTCTTCGACACCAGAAGTATCTATTACATTCAAAATTTGTTACGAGTGTTTTTGGACTACATAAAATAGGACATACATGATAGGATCAGAAAAGTTGGATATTTGCTGCTGTTAAACTAAAATATATTTTGTGATTTCAATATTGATATAAATCAAGAAAAATTCTGGAGCCTGGAAACTTAACAGTACGATTCCAACTTGAGAAATTGATAAAACAAAAACACTTCTAGATTATAAGTTGAAACTATGTTTATGGTAACTTTGTAATGTTCAATAATGCATAATATAATTTTAAATTATAACTTTCCATTTCAAATAATGGAAAATCTCTCATAAATCGCAAGTTTTCAGTATTAATTCAAATTATACCTTACCTTCTGCTTGAATCTCTTACAGCTCTGGCAGTTTCTGAAGCTAAATCCAGTACACCAACAACGGGTTTGGTGACTGCTCCAACTAATCCCTTGCCAAGTCCTGAAAATACTCCTTGTATTCCATCATTAGAAGCTCCTTCATAAACTTGTTTGAATATTCCTGTAGCTCCTCCCAAAATTCCGAACCCTAATCCTTTGAATCCCGCCAAAATGTGGTCGGAACTTTTTCCAGTTTGGACTTGCCTGATTCTTTGCCTCATTTCTTCGTGACAATCGTCCATCGTTACTTTACCCAATCCGTCAGAGAGAGATTCAGTTATTTTCGCGGCAGAATTTGACATACCGTGAGTTACATTTTTTACTAAAGCCCCAACGTTTCCTTCATATATAAAGCCTGATATGCCTTCAGAGACATCGTTCACTAGACCTAGAGGATTTCCAATGAAATCCACCGAACCCAGTATGATTCCAGCTTGCCACATAAGCTCCTATAAGTGAACAAAACAGGTTAAAATGAATATAATGCTCAATTTATGTGAAATGACAAAAATTCGTTCAAAATTTGGAAATGAAAAAACAATAAATATTATAATATGGAGAATCCGGTAAACAGATTGCTAAAAAACTCAACCTCTTTAGAAAGTTTGAGGCCAGTTTCTCTATAAGAAATGTAAACTTGCTAGATGATTGGTGGGATGTGAATGTGTTTAAGAACAAACACTTTCCTGGATAATATCACGACAAATATATGTTCTGACAGGAACCAATCATATTTCTCTAGCCAGCAGAATCGGCAACCAAATGCAGTCAATTCCATATCTGTCATGATAAATCTCAGGAAATTAGTTATTTCAAGATACGCATTTCGCAAATTCCTACTGTGAGAGATATTTGTATTTCAAATTTCATCTAGAATATTGATTTTCTTAATTTCCCTAAAAGTTTTCTTTTCATAATGAAACAACAGAATAGATTTAAGTTCGAAACAAAAATTGAATCAACAACAACAAAACTCAAGGACCTAACTCTCAAATGTTTTTGAACACAGTTTTTCAAAATTCTGGGCATTTGCTAACATTTTCAAAAATTTCAAATGTATACTACTAGTATTACTGAAAATTTTAACTTACATCTTTGAAATGTTTCACAATAGATTTGAAAAGAAATTGGCTTGTTTCAAATGGATGGTGTCTCTCAAATGCCTCCAGTTCCACTGCTGCATCTTCAAATTTTATCAAAGTCAAGCCCAATTTCCTTTTGATCCTCTGTAAATTTTCCGGTAGTTTGCTGGCAGTTGTGACACTCAATCTTATCTGATCTGGAATAAGTTTTATTACACCGAAGTAATACCTGAAAATATGACATTATCATTAGAGTCATTTATTGATCAAGTTAAACTAACTCTTCTATTAAACAGAAGAGAAAAAAATAGATAAATAAATTCATATAAAACAAATTTATATTTCGAAATGAAATCTCGAAATATTCATCTCTCCAAACGTATCTACCTACATAGTAGGTTTTGCAAGAGAAAGATCAAACTGTTAGATTTTCCTCTTGAAGATGGTCACCTGGTGATTGAAACACGTGTCGAAATATTACAATAACGGTTTGGTGTTGAGAAAAAACTCCAGTAATATTCAGTTTCCATTTGTTTTGAAAAAGTCACTCACTTGTTTGTATGCTGATGATTCTTCTTAAAAGATTTGCCTGAATTGCAAAACAAATATAAATTCTGATCTCGATAGCTTGCAAAATTTTTTAAGTGAAAACTCATTATTTTTGAATGCCTCCAAAACGAAAGCAGTAGCTTTTCATACTGCCCAAAATATTAACACGGTAGACCTTAATATTGTAATATCCAGTGTTGAGATAGAAAGAGTTGATAGTATAATATTTTCAGGACTTTTTCTAGACAGAAATCTCAATTTCCCTCAGCAGTGCAATAATCTCATTGAAATTCTCAATAAGCGGTGTTATCTGTTGAGAAACCTGAAAATAATTATCTGGTCTACTTTTATATTACCACGGGCAGATACAATCAAGAATTAACTATGGGATTATTGTTTGGGAAAATTCTCTGTCTGCACACAATGTTTTTGTTACGCAAAAAAGAATTATTAGAACTATTGCAAACGCATCACGGACATCATCGTGTAGAACATTATTAAAAAAATTAATTTTGCCTCTGGACTCTACATTCTGGAAGTTTTGTTGTACATTCATAAAAATAAAGAAGTTTTTAAACAAAACCAATCTTTTCATGAATATAATACCCGCATCAAAACATATTTTCACATACCCAAAACACGTTTATCTCTACGTGTGAACTCGTTTGAGATTTTGGGGGCGCAATTATGTAATGCGCTTCCGGAGTATTTCAAAATTATAACCAAGGAACAAGTATTCAAACATAAAATAAAACAACTGATTTTTGAGAGTAGCCCCTATACAATCGATGAGTTTTTCTCTTACCTAAATTTGTAAAAATTGTTTCGTGTTATTTTTCATCATTGCTGCTTTGATCACTTACTTGATTGTGTTAACACCTCTTGTTATTTATGAATGTGTCTGTTGTATACTTGTATTTTATATGTGTATTTGATATGTACTGACTTATCCAATTGCTTTTATAAGCTCATTTTAATGGATCAATAAAAAAATTGGTATCATGCTCATGTCGATTACTAAGCCTTTAGCATCACCTATAAACTAGCTTTTTTGTTGAAATATTTGTGATATTGTCAACTGATACAAATAATATCTCAGTAATTATACGGTCAGGGTTTGGCATACCGTAATGTAATATTCGTATCATTATGTATCACTATAAAAATCTAGCAATTATTCCTTATGGCATATATGTGTAATGTCTCAAACTTTCACAGTTTGATATATTGAAAAGGAAACTGCTGTAAAACTATTTTCAAATGAGAATTTTGCTAAAAAAATATGATCATCTCTTTATATTCTTAAGGTACATAAGGAAAATAAACTGATTTGAATGAAGTGAAGTTATTGAAACTACCCTTTTCTTTTTGCAGACAGATAACTAATAAATATAATGTAATTAATTAAATCACAACAATAAGACTTACTTTTGAATAGAATGTGTTTCTTAATTCTCAAAGTCTCAAAATACCTTGTTTATCACTTTATCATTTATAATTTACAGGTACCTTAAATGTGGTTCAGGATAATCCTGCTCAAGTATTAAGTTTTGAATTGATCAAACAATTAAGACAAATGATGTCACCAGGACAAAGGTTTAATCATGTCAGAAAATAAACTTTGTATTACTCATATATTGATAGTAATTAGAATGTTTGTGTTGAAAATTGTTGCTGAAATCTTTTGATAGTAATATCAAATATTTGTGAATTGAAAGCTTATCTTAGGTTACAGGAATTATTTTTTATATAAATACCTTTTGGCATGGACAGCTGATACTTCAGAAAGAAGCCTTTGAGTGTTATAATCATTTTCTTTCTTATCAACAACTTCCTCTACCTGTGAATGAACTCCAATAAACTGACAAAGCTTCAGAAGAAGACGTTCTTCTATAACAATTGTAATTTTTTTCAGGCGTAATATAAAATGCTGAAAAAAAAATCATGATATACAATACAATATTCTAAAATTATTTAAAGAAAACTCATCAGTTGATCATTTTACAAATCCTAATAGTGACTTTTTTGAAAATGTGATATTGATCACATTGTGATCATATTGATCACAATGTGATCAATATGATCATCAAAGGTTACCTTAATATCAAACAATGCTATTAGTCAATGTCAGACTAATTTTTTTTATTTTATAAGATAGAGTTTACAATTCTTGGGAATATTATTTGATCATATTCATTTATACTCAATTGGAGTATATTCAAATCAGACCAATGAGATAAATTGCTCCAGTCAAGCTAACAGTTCTGCAGTCATCAACTACCGTACTATGAAGTTTGAGATCGTCTGCTAACATAAAATGATGGCGTTGATGTCTAACATCAGGCACATCGTTTACAAATAGAATGAAGAATATTGTCCTAGATGTGATCCTTGATAAATTTCATATCTTACAGTTTTGTGATAATATAAAACCACAATGTATTCAAAAAACACTTTAATGTGAGATTTCCCCTTGACAGTTTACAAAATTGCGACACGTGTTTCGCTATACAATAGCATCTTCAGGAGTCACTGACTAAACACATTCTGAGTCAGGCTTTCAAAGTAATTCAAATCCTAATGACTATTACTACATGACGAATTTCTAACTGTCATTAGGATTCAAATTACTATGAAAGCATGGGACAGAATTTGTTTAGTCAGTATTGTGATGCCTGAGGATGCTATTGTATAGCGAAACACATGTGGCAGTTTTGTAAACTGTTGAGTGGAAATCTCACGTTGCTTTTTTTAATACATTATAATTGATTCTCATCAGGTATCAGTCAGTTCTATCATATTAACAAAACCGAAATATTTCACAAACTGAATTCTATTTACTAAACAACTTCTTAATCATTTCAACAAGTTAAGCCATGAGAAGATCATGATCTTATAGAAAGCTTTAGAGAATATAAATAGAATAAATACTGTTTTTATAAGTTATGTTAGGTTATTCATAGGTTATTGATTACCCAATAAACTAGTACGTGTGAATCTACAAGATGAAAAGCTATGCTGACGTTCATCAATTAGGTTTTTTGTATCAAACATCAGTTATCAAACAATACAGTAAGTGGGGAATTTCACTGGACGATATATTTCAATATAGCTCCAGATTTATGGATTGGCACTATGAAGCTTTTCTTCCGAATGCAGAACAGGTTGCCAAAGATTAAAAAAAATTGAAAATTGTTTCTAAGGGTTTTGCTAAGATGAATATACAGTTTTTTAAAAATCGAAGGAATTCCATCTAGACAAGCCAAAAGTTTTGATTGAAAAATATGATAGAACTGACCAATAGTTGAAAGTTTACAAAACTGTGACACGTGATTCACTATACTATAGCTAAACACGTGTTATTTTGACGTCCGGAGTTACTATCGAACATACAGGGTGTAACTAAATAAGTGTAAAACATTTAAGGAGATGATTCCTCATTGAAAAAAAGATAGGATCTTTCATATAAAGAAATTTCATTGGAGCATCCCTTGTTAAGATACAGCCCCTTAAAGGGGTTACATAAAAAGTTACAATATTAAAATTGACCTAACATTTTGTACTACTAAAGTAACACTAAGCCAGTAATTTATTTGGTTTACCCCATGGTTGTAAGGGGTGGAAAACGCAACCCCTAAAATTTATTTCCAATGTAACTTTTGGTCTTATCATTTGTTTACCATTTAAAAATTTATTTCCGATAGCCTGTTTCATTCTTAACAAAAAATGTCTCTTGGGTTTTTTGCTCAAAATAAACCAGTTCGCAGCAAAAAATTATTTTACGAACAACTACAGAGATACATCGTCATAAATGCGAAAATACGAAACTAATCTATCTAGTAGGNCAAGAAAAATAAGCTAGCGTTGACCTAATTCATTCATTAAAAGATCTATATTGTCTTCCATAAGATACTCCAACGAACCATATTTAGAATAACTTCAATTTGCAAATTATGATTTTTTTTAAGTCAATAAATAAACTTCGTTTTAATATTTTTTGTACGATAGCAAACAATATGTTTACATAGATGGTTCGCAAGAATCCCCAACCCCAACAAAAGTATGTTATCTTTTTGGAGAGAATAAATGGAAATACTTTGTTTACCTTGAATATAACAGCATTTTTATCAACCTTCTTTTGTACCTCTGTATTGAAGTCAAGAGCGGGTAAATGATCGTAAGCTTCTAAACTGGTTTTTGAGCTCACTGGTGTGATGTACATGACAACAGGAACTGAAGTATCAATTAGCTGAAAAAAATAAAGAAGAAAATGTGAAAATTTTATTGAAAGGCTATCATGGATCTGTGTTTCGAACAACAAGATCACCTCATCATAAATGTCCTGAAATTTTTCGGTTATGATAAACAAACTTTACCCATTTGCAGACTACGACCAACAAACACAGAAAATGAGTTTGACACAGAGAAATCGAAAGATATGTTATCAATACATTGATATTTACAAAATAAATACAGAAGTATTAAACTGAGGTACACAAAACAAATCATTTCTACCGACGATTTTCAACTATATATTTCACATGTTCATCAAAAAATGGGAAAATCAAAACCAAATACTGAAAACATCAGTGGATTCAAAATACTACCCTGCGGAATACCTGAATGACTTTCTCTCAATGAGGTACAAGATAATAAGTTCTGATCGAGTTTTACCCTCTGAGTTCATTCAGAAAACTAGCTTGTCAGCCATTTCAGCAATTACTGATTGCCAATTGTTATTTAAAAACTTTACTTTTATCAAATAAAGCCAAAACTGAAATATCAGATCTGTGTAATGATTTCTCAATATTTTCAGAAAAAAAACTCCTGTAGATGACAACTTGGTTGGTGAAACACGTGTCGAGAAGATTATTTCAGTAAAGTGCTTGTTTTGGACATATTACTAGATTTGTTTTCAAAATATTAGCCTAGCTAATATTTTACTACAGAATTGGCAGCTTTGAGAACTTGGACTAGCTTTATTGATGAAAATGAATTTGACGTATTTGGTGAAAATAGAAAAATAACCTTGAAAATCATAATACTGAGATTCGTTCAGTTATGAACTATTCTAGCTACCTCAATGGTTATATCGTTAAATTAAACCAAAATGCAATTTTTTCAAGTGAATTTGACCAAACGGTAAGATTAAAGAGATCAGAAAAACAATCCTAATGATATTGATAATATTATAATATAAATGACGTCGCATCACAGATTTATATTAGTTTTTAAATCAAAGAAACCAAGTTCTTTGGAATAATCAATTTGAAATAATAAGGAATGAAGTGAAGAGTATAAATAAAAGGTGTGACATAACAGTTGCCAGTTGAAATGATATTGAAAGAAAATTATCATATATTTCAAAATTTGGGTAATTACTTTTATCTTCGATATTATTATTTGTCACTTCCCACAATAGGGGATATTTTACCGGGACGGTATGATTGAGAAAAAGCTAAAATTTAAGGTAGATAATTGGGAACTTTCCAATGAAAAGCAAAAAAATTTCCTTTTATACCAAAAACTATCAATTACCTGATTATCCACTTGTATGTGCTTGATACTAATGCAGAACTGTTTGCTTTGCGATGTTATGAGTGTTTCTCCAATTATAGTTGAGAAATGAGCATAAACGAGTTCCTCTGCTGGTTTTCTGCAAATCAAACTCATTCCTAATCCTTTCAAATTCACTCCTATTTGTAGCTCTCTGCAGTCATCTTCTTCGTTTTTATTCTCAGACAGCTTCGGCCTTTGATCTTTCGAAATTGTTCCCCATTCTCTGTCATCTGGAGAAGCATAAATTTTTTTCTCTTTGAGATCCTTTATGCTTATGACTTGAGTTGGTCCGTCCATCTGGATACTTACTGACAGAAAACCAGAACCAGGTCGAAGACGCTGCCTCTCTATTGCATGTTCAATTGGAATACCCTGTTCAGTCAATTTGTGACATATAAGTTGGGGTAAACCTAGCACAACTGCATTTCCTGAAATATTTTATTTGGTAATGAATATGATCTGTTGAGACTTGAATATTTGTATTGACTTGCTGATTTTATGCACTTTTTTACCATCGCTTAACTATTTCCATTTTACAGATAGTTCTGTTACAAATGCTCTAATGATTCTTTACAAATAAAAACTTTCTGACCTGTCTAAAAAAAATCTGTTTAAAATCTATTTTTCCATTAACCAGCTGTCGCACCCCTACGTACGACAACCCTCAGAAGTCAAAACTTGTGTGAGCTAAGGACTAACGAGGTCATACCTTTTAACGTGTGATTCCTAATGCGGGTTGGATGATAGCAAGTGAAAATTGATCGTTCAGTCTGGAGTTTGAACCACCGACCAACACGGCGGTCGATTTGAGTGAGTGAACAAAGCACCCACGTCGAACCGACCGGCTACCGACCGACCTATTTTTTATAATCATCATTATGTTCTTTTGGAACACTCTAAATTGAAAAACAGCTCCTCATAAAAAATTTCCATGGGTTTCAAAATTTTCAAATATTTATTTCACGAGATAATGAACTTTGAAAATTTGCAATGTGCAATTGTAATATGAATCACGAGTGTCATCAAGAAAGAATTACAGAATATATCACAAATAGGCAAGTTGATCTATTGAAAACACTTTTTTTACAAAAAAGATGTCTCTCTCTACACACAAAGTTATGGTGTTCTGGTGTGGAAAAAATGTTTTCCTTTTTTATACTGACAATTTATTCCCCAAGAAATATACAATACAAATATACCAGGGAAAAAAGAACAATATAAAAAAGAATAAAAAAAGTTCAACTAATTCGCTCACATAAAAACTGTAAGTACTTCTGTATTTCACAGTAAATAAATTTTATATTGTAATTAAAATTTTAACCTAAAATTAGGAATGAAGCTGTCTGAGTTGAAAAATAGAATATAAAATATGATTTTACAGAATAATTAATTCAATTTAATGAAATAAACCCAAAAATCGTATCACAGTGTATTTCAATATTAGTGAATTCCAAAAATTTAAAGCAATTCTTCATTAAAAAGTTAGGTTGTTTGAAGCAGTAGTCACATCGTTTCGATTTCAATAATTTGTTCCAGTTTGTGGACTTATATCCAATGAACAAGTTGATGACTCATGCACAGCTTTTTTTGTTCAAAGAATTAATTTCACATATCCTATTACCTGCCTATTTCTGCTACTTTTATATTATTCCCGATGCTTCAATAATACATGATTTATGAATTTATGGTTCCAGAATGCATAATATTGTAATCAAGTTACTCAGTAAAATATTATTATGAATCTTTACCTTTTTGGGGAATATTCACAATGGTACACAGCAAAGAAAGATATACAGAATATTATGTAAACGATTCTAGTAATATAAACTTAAATATGAAGCAACTGATTGAGAATTAGAAAATTTAGCATTCTCACCTGGCCTCAAACCATAAAACCCATCTAAGGCTTGTACACACATATTGTAATGATCACAACATAATTTCCCATCATCCGTAAACCTCCATTTCTGTGTAGATCGTCTCCTGGGATCAATACGCCTCAACATCAATTTGGAATAGGTATTGGGTTGGGGAGCGGTGCCTTCTATATCCAATACTAAAATGGTATTACGGCTTTGTGTCTGACCAGGGTGTAGAGGTGGATTGCTACCCTCGTGCTGCAGGTAACCTTCAGATGTCATTCTCCATAACTGGGATCTCTCACTAGGTATTTTGTGTGACAAAACCACTCTGGTATTTTTGACCACATCGAGAACTAGTTCTTGACTTTCAACATCATTTGGATCTTGAATGCCTCTAGGCCTGGAGAAGTCATAGAAAAACATTGCTGATATTTTATTGTTCACTTTATTTAATCTGTGATGAATTTCAGTGCAAGTTGAAATGACGATCGTGGTTTCTTTCAACATTTATTTTGGCGAAAAGAGTTTTCATTCAGCTATTTTTTGTAAAGAGAATATATCATTTATCATTATCAATTTTTGTAAAGATTCCAGCAAATGAATTATATTTGGTAGTGGTCAACTTGAATGAATGTAAGAACCTGAATGTTTTTAAATGATTTTCAGTGATTTGTTCCAGACTCAATAAATACGATCACTTTTGAAAATTTTATTGTTTGGAAAGCAATAATTTCTGAAGAAGCTTGAGATCTATAAAGGAGCCTTGAAAGCCGTGGGTTTTTGGAATTTCTTCCTGACGTTTCGCTGGCGCGAGTGGCTAGCTTCTTCAGAGGTTTAACCATCATGGCTTGCTTTCCGATGACTACCCTTTTAGGCTTCGTAAAGCGTATTTATGCCTTGTCAGGTATTAACAATCTTGCTGCAGCAAGATTGTTAATGTTCCAGGTTCAAGTGCAGGTACGAATACAGATACAAATTCAGGTACAAATATAACTGATTACCAAAATTTGAATCGAAATGTGTCCTCTCATACCTGTATAACCGTTGTGTTGAATTAAGTAGAGAACGTTCAATCTCACCCAAGTTTTTTTAACAAAAATTTCATATGAAAGGTAAGGTTTGAACTTTTCATTAATATTTTCTTAATACTTATCTGTCAAATGAAGAGTACATACACCCTTTATCAAAATATTCACTAACAAGTAACGAATGTAATTGTTGTAGCGTTAATTTTCCAAACTTGTAACAAGTTTTGTTCAACAATCTTGGACAATTTGTGGAAGTTAGATCAAAAGTAAATATAATACCTTTATATAATAATAACATGTACATGTACAACATTAAAGTAGAAATACTCAAGTTGTTTAAATCATCCTTATCTTGGTCAATGAAATCCTGTAAAGGTAGAAGATTGACCATCCAGAAGAAAGAAGAGTGACAAATTCAGCAACAAAGTTCAGAAATATTTCTTTTGGTCATTATTGGACACGTGATCAATTTCTTGTATTTTGTATTTTAGGTGTACTTTATATCTTTTATAAATTATAAAAAGTGAAATGTTTATGTTTATATCTTACGTATTTTATTTATCAAATTCGAATAAAAATTCTGGTACTTGAGCCTAACGAAGGCATTGTCGTTACTGGAAAAGCAATGATGTATAACCTATTTTACGCCAAAGCTGAATAACAAATTTTCCATTTATATCAAAACTGTCAATTCAATTAATCTCCCAAAAACATAGAAAAATTGGCTCTTCAACTTCTACCAACTACTTATTGAATATCTTGAATTCTAGTATCTGAAATTGAATGATGCTCGAATAATAGTATTTCAATTTTTGGCAATTATTATGCTTGATATATGAATACATTCAAAATCTTCATACTACGTTTGTGTATTTTTCAATGTTTCAATATTCTATGCAATCTATGTATTTGTGCATCTAATCCTGCCATTTTATTTGATGAATATTCATGGATAGGAATTTTTTACATATTACTTAGAAACCTTTGAAACTTGTTACTTAGAAATCATCCACACATAAGTTTTATAGTTTTTATTCATTCATATGATATTGTATTGTACTGTTATTTTATGATAAAAATATTATTACTAATTATAAATCCACTACTAGCAAGATGTCCAAAATAACAACCGATACACTTCATAAATGAGATCTACCTGAAATAAATATTACACATATCAAAAAAAATTAATGTCTTTTTTGTTTCTAGCATCTTGATAGAAGCTGCTACTTGTTTGATTGCCAAATTAAATAATGTGTTAGTCTAATTACCTGGCGATATAACATTTATGAAATAAATGAGGAATCTATTAACCAGCAGGGAACTACAAAAACCACGTCAGATGGACAAGACAGTTGACAAATGAAATTATGAGAAATGTTGACTCAATCAGGTGTTTAGTGACACACATGTAGTTAGATACACGTGTCAGATTTTTTAAATTTTGTTTTATTTTGAAAATAGTGAAAAAAACTATTTTAAATTATTTTCCTGAGTATCGTTTATTTGAGAACCACGATAAATATAAGAATATAACCACAATGAATGAGAAAACAAAACAACTCACTTTCTGAATGTCCCAGCAAATGCAATATAAATGAAATTTTCGTATGTCAAGCCTGGAACAGATCCCAAAGTGGACATATCATAGTTATTAGATACACCACCTGGCGCTATCAATCTTATGGTGTTGGCTTTCGTCGGTTCATCCCAAGCATATGGAACACTTGTGTGTGCTCTTGCAGTACTGTGCATAAAATCAATATAACAACTCTGTCCAAACATTATAGATACTTCAGAAAAATTATCTACCCTTATTGGAGGGGGCATTGTGTCAGCATCTGAGAATACTATGAAAAACGTAGCTCCTTGAAGAAGTACCTCTAAACGAAGAAAATACACATGTCCATAGGCGTCACTGAAACAAATTATAAGTTATTCTGTAAAACCGCAATGTCATCTACCTGTAGCATTAGGTTAAGAGAGGAAGAAAAATGTTCAGTAGAAGAATGATTGACTTGTTTGATCACTCAGACTGTAATAGGGGAAAAGAGCTGCAGTGGTTAAATGACAAAGCCTAAACCTATTTCAGTATAATCGGAAGATTTTCGAACTATTCTAGCTGAATTGCAACCAATATTTGTCTTACAGTTAATTTTTTCATACTTTCCCTATCTATAATTCTTCATAATGACATCTTTAGCAAGACAACATTGGTCACAAATGGTGTTCCACAAGAAAGTATTTTTGGACCGCTGTTGTTCCTAATTTATATTTTGTTTCGTGTACAAATATAAAAAGTTTTTTGAAACAGAGAGATTTCAACATTCATATGAAACTCGAATCAAACATAGATTGGTACCACCAAAACACTTGTCGAGTTTTTACTAGAAACGCATTTACTACAATTGATTTAGGCTATCCAATAAGTTACCACAATATAATGAAGGTAGCAAAAGTATTCATAAGTTCGGAAAAGGAATTGAGTATTAGTAAAACAAATTATAGTATTGAAAAATGTCTCTGTGATTTTATTGTCATTTTTTATACACTGTACTATAGCAACTGCCATCAAAATATCTATTTCTCCTTTTAGGAAAACCTATATTCCACAGAAAATGAAAGAGACATTGATATAGACGCAGCTCTTAGAGCATATTACTCGATCTCCCACAGCAAAATTAAGTACGGACTTATCATTTGAGAATGTCCACATACATGGATAACGTGTAGAGAATTCAGAAAAGGGCAATTTGGACCATAGCAGACATTCAACAATTTAAATCTGTAAACTTTGGTTCAGATACCAATCCAGAGATTTGAATCAACAAGGAGAAATAATTCGGCTATAAACATATTTGATTTACTAACGGTTTCAATAAAAATATGGCTGTGACACAATTAAAAAAAAAAACTTAAAAATTGATCTTGTAGCTAATGCTTAATATGCCGTCGCAGAATTAAATCACGAAGGATGACGAAACATGTATTTTATACACGAAGTAGATTTTTACATGTACATATATTTTATTATATTATTTTTCATTTTGTGGTATGTATGTAAAGGTATATGCATAAGTCTGCATTTACATATTTTCATAATAACTGATTCTTTGACTAAGATCTTATTTGTATATATTAGATGTTTCACTTATTTATTTATTGCTATATATGTTTATGTTTGATTTGTCAAAACACAACGAATAACAATTCTATTTTATTTTTCTATCCAATTCTATTCTTTGGCAATATTTATTGGTGCAGTTCTTAGAAATTCACCCTATTATGTCAAAGTTATTACTTTCATGATATACCACCATACATTGATAAATAAGTATCAAAACTTACCGAATGTTAACGTGCATGGAATTATTCGTATCTATTTTAAGTCCACCAGACCAACAGCAATTTGGGATATCTTCGATGGATACACAAAGCAACTGCTCCTTTTCCAAGTTTGTCCAATGAAACGGCATATGCGAATTAGGTAGCGCTTTCAGGTATGAAGTACGAGATGATTCCGAAATTTTAACTGAACAAATTTGAGCAAACAACAATTTATAAAGACTTCTGTTATAAAGCTGATATCTCGGAGAAATTGTGATGATACTGGTAGAGCGATATTTACCCCTACCCGGTCTCACTTCCAAACCAACAATAAAAACAGTGTCAGGTCTGCCGTCCCTCATCGTCACATGTAATTTTCGATACTGGGTTCCCTTTTGAACGTGGAAATTGGCACACCACTAGAAAATAAACTATATTATCATAAAAGTTTGATAAAAATATACAAAATTGTTTGGTGAATACCATTCCGTGCATTATATTATAACTATAATTTGTATTCAAAATATAAGAACACAGGCTTCAAAAGCGGGAGTCATGAATAGAGAGTACAAAATCTGGGTTGGTAGCCGGTGGTTGAATGGAACCTGAAGTACCCAATGTACTACTGCGGCAGACATCATCAGTGATATGTGCGTTGATTTCTTAATATAATCTTCGTCTTTGCAGATACTATTTACAAATTGAAAGTCTGAAAGAACTCACATAGAGAGAGCTGAAATGTAGATTCATAAGAATATATTTTCCGAAAACCTGAATGGTTAGTCAACAATATTTTATTTGACTCAATATGTTTCAAAATTTGATTATAAACCGCTGTTTCGAGAGCTTTTTCAATAGGTGGTAGAGTATAGATGTGACGAAGTTCACAAGACTTAATAATATTACTGACTTTGGGAATTGGAACAATGGTACTTGTTTTTAACTCATCCGGTATTTTGTCCATAGCCAGAGTAGTATTTATGAAATTGAGAATAACATGTCCTTTGGTTTCAAAAATATTTTTGAGTTTATTATTTGAACCATACCAATTGAATTTTCAAGAGAATTGATTATTTTGCGCAAATCTTCAAATGTTAGCGGCATGAATCTATCGAAGCTGTGTTACAAATTTGAGTTTACATCTTCCCATGGTTCATCTTCAGCTGACGTCAAAAATTTCATTGCAAAAGAAATTAACAATTTGGAGTGGAACTTCTATATATTTCATGAATGGTGCTTCAAAAAATCGTATAGAAGTAGGACGTTGCTACAACAGAGATCTTGAACTACGTTTTGGACTTTGCGAGCAGAATATTCCAAATAATTTATGAAATTCCAGTTGACGTACATGTATAATCATTTATTTATTTATTTATTTATTTCAACGGACAAGCCAATTTTTACAAATATCTTTTTATAAATTGTACATGTGCTTACAAACTAAAGATGCATCAGATGTTTTTAATCGATTTCTTGAAGGATAATAATGATGAATTAAATAATTCCAGGTTAAGATGGTAATGATTTGCTGATTTCAATATCCTACATATTGTTTCATTCTGACCATAATTGGTTCTACAAAAAGGAATTTTAAAAATATCACTATTTCTGGTTCTTCTATCATTCACAGAGAGAGTAGTACAAAGCTCAACTATTTCTGGAGAATCAATATAGCCGTTTAATACTTTGTGGACAAACACAAGATCTGTTTCAAGTCTCCTATGAGTTGAGGTGTTCATGTTCAATATGTTCAATATCTGTGAGTAGTTATACTCTCCTCTATTTAATCCTAACTGAAAAGCAACATATATCAAGAATTTGTTTTGACACCCCTCTAACAACTCAACATCAACATTATAATAGGGTGACCATACAATGGAGTTATACTCAAGAATGGATCTCACTTGTGCACAATAAATCAGTTTTATAGATTCGACACTTAGGTCTCTAGCAGAACGAAGTGTAAAACCTAACATCTTACGGGCTCGAGATGAGGCTTCCGTTATTTGGTACTTGAATGACATTTTTAAGTCAAAAACGACACCTAAATCTTTTATTTTATCCGTTACTGCTAAATCATTCCCATTAATTTTATACGAGTAATCATATACATTATTGATCCTTGAGAAAGTAATTTTTTGACACTTATCTGGATTCAAATGCAAAAGGTTGACGTCACACCAGCTAGAAAACTGGTGTGACGTCACACCCACATTATCATGTAATGGTTTTTAAGAATCTCTATCACATCACTATCACTATACTTTCCACTGTTTCACTTTTACTATCAATGAAGTATGAATTCAAATTGTTGGCAATATCTATATAATTTGTTCATCGCAAGTTTCAAACACTACATAAACTGTAACAGTTTCTTGAAAAAAATTAAGTTTATTATTATAAATAACATTTCCCTAAATAGTTTCAATTGATAACCCACAGCGCTAGCCGTATTTCAGACATATGTTTCTCTCTCCTCTGTTCCCATGGTCAGGTCAAAAGTGAGCGGGTCTATTCAACTCTCCACTGTAACACGCCAGGATTTATTGTGGCATGACTCACTGTTCAGTGTGCGATCAACATATACTGTTGTGATTCAAATGATTGTGAATAATATATATTCAAAACAGCATCAAATATTCAAATTTACTTTCAAACCAAAAACACGCAAAGGCTCTAGCCAGTAAGCATACTAATTTTGTGTATGTATATCATTAGTATTATTATTTAATCCTACCAAAGTAACAACTGGCTTATGGTAGCTATAATATGTGTACAAAATAATCAATACATTTTTTCATTAATGAATAACTTTTCCTAACTTATGATGCACTGTTTGGGACCTTTGGTGTAGTAATGAATATTACTGGAGTTTTTTCCCAACACCAAATCGCTATTTTTAACACCTCGACACGTGTTTCGATCACCAAGTGATCATCTTCAAGAAGAAGATTAAAAAGTTTAATCTTCCCCTTGAATATGATCACTTGGTGATCGTAACACGTGTCGAGGTGTTAAAAATAAGAAGATTGAAAAGTTTAATCTTCCCCTTGAAGATGATCACTTGGTGATCGAAACACGTGTCGAGGTGTTAAAAATAGTGATTTGCTGTTGGGAAAAAACTCCAGTAATATTCAACTTTTCCTTACATTATCATTTTAATATACATAAAATTTAAGTAATAACCTAAGCTGTCTCAAGTTAAACAATGTCAATATTGTTCAACTAAGATCAGTTTAAGTAACTTATGTCAGGCGTCACAAGACGCACACGTCTTGTGACGCCTGAGTCTATAATTATAGCAGTGAGGAAGTGAAACAAGATTTTGATCAAGTATGATCGAGAACTTACCTGAGGACTGCCATCCCAAACAACTCTTTTTCCTACTCTAGCATTGATTGTTAGATTAGCGTCCTGATCTGAAAAGCTAAACAGCAGTGGAGCTACCATCCTAGCTTGTTCATGTTCATCAAACTGACCAGCGCTTTCAACAGAGGTGCCAGATTGCCGGAAAACAAGCGGTAAACCTGTTCTGTTGATGATCCAATAATATGCACTAATCGCAATCTGAAAATTAAAAAGAACATTTCATTTCTAAAAATAGGATTACCTATATGATTATTACCTTCAACTTTGCACCTTTATTAAATGTTACTTGAGCTAATAGATACAGTCTTCTCTGCCGGTTATCCTCAAATCTGATTCTACTTGTGAAGTCACTGGTACAGCTACTGAGGACTACTATTGGATTGCATGTGCGAAAGTTGTCTAATCTTATTTCCAACTCTACATTTTTTTCTGGATCAACCTAACAAGAAGAGATTGGGGATATGATATAGCCGGTATAAACATATTTTAAGATGGAAGTGCAATTGCTGAATTTTTCAATAATATGTATGATAGCTTAGATAGAATGATAAAATCTTTGAGTATTTTTATTGACCTTAGCAATGCTTTTGACCTGGTAGACGCCGACAAGATATTGTTGTAATTTATCCCTTGAAAAAATAACACCGGCCGCCGCTGATATTTACTGATCAACTGCGACTTGGTCAAGGGCGCGCTCAACCCCAATCGTATCTCTCGATCCTTCTAGAAACCGCGTCCCTTCGAGAATTGTTCCGCCGGCTTCCGAATACTTCCATCGAGATATATAAGCATTACCAACACTCAGGGGAGGCTAGTCAAGTTCGGAAAGTGCAGTGCGAATTGAGCTAATAAGACGACAGACATTTGAGCATCAGTCTGAAGTTCAGTTAGAATTTTTGTATTGTACTGACAGTGTAGTATCGAAAGCTGAGTTTACTTGAACATTGTGATCATTTCTTGTCAAACCCACGAGGAAAACGTAACAATACTTTCTTATGAATTGAAAAGTATGGAGGAATATCCTTTCAGTTCACACTATAATAGAGCCTCACCACAACGAATTCTTTTACTTTTTTTGTAAATTTCTTTTCAATATTTATTCGCCTTAAATTAATGGGAAGGCAAATAAATAACTTCCTGCTATTGAAAATAATAGAATTTAGTGTAAGGGCTAGAGTAGTGTTGGAAGGGAAATGAAGCAAGACTGACATGTGCTATAAGTTGAAGTAGTATTAAATTAATTTTGATATTTTTTGTGGATAAGACATACTGTTTCCAAAATAAGACATACTAAGGTCATAATTTTTTGCGTCACAAATAATCCCTGTATCATTTCCTCAGAAACAAATTCCATAACGTAAATAGGACTCAATTTGTGCAAAATAAACTGATGTTGTAATAGAAATATCCAACTCTCTTGCAACAACTATCACTGCATGGCATCCTGCTGCTAGTCTTTTACATAAGAAGTTGTTGACATGGAAATCAAATTTTAGATTTTCGTTAATGTAGAGCCCTACAAAATTGTTTTTCTTCAACTTTTCAATTTTACATTTTCCAAGTGTACTTCCCATATGTCACATCTAAACGTGACCAGATTCATTTTGTCGATGTTGAATGATAAAAGATTGGAATAGCTCCAATCTTTCACCCTTCTTATGTCGACGATGATTTGATTAGGTAAATTTGAAGCGGTTTTGATAATTAAATCTGATAACCTAACAGCAAGGAGACTACACTGCCAAGCTGGTGTTTCACAGTTGGCGCTTAATATGTCTTGAATCAATATATGACTGAATCAAATTCATAAAATAGTTTGCAGCTACAATGACATACTACATTTACGATGCTTTGAACTGAAAAATGCTAAAGGAAATATATGAAACCATCGGCCAGTTCTATTAGACTTCATTTAATTGATGCCTCGTTGATGTTGAGCTGTTTCAGTATTCGACTAATACATAGTCAAAATCTGAAGAGTATTGCTAACTGAACTATATTTATCGAACTGTATCAACGAATATTATTAACTTACCCCTGTTAATGCAGCACTTGATCCTGCTTTGATAAGGGTTACTTCACCATTAACGACATAATGCATGTCAATTGGAAGAAGATTTTCCAACTTAACGGTTGGCAATAAATGAATTCGGTGAGCAGGTTGTTCAAATCTTGAACTAGTATTAATGTAAAGATTTTCTCTGACAATTTCAGCACAAAATCTAAAAAAAAATAATAGTTAGAATTTAATATACAGGTCTATACAAATTAGACCATCCGCATGAGATTTTTTTGATAAGAGACAGAGAGTCGGTGAAGTTGTAGGAAAGTTGACTATTTGAGAGCACTATTGAATGCCAATGGAGATCAACTCCAGCTTTCTTGTTTGGAAACAAACCCAACGAAAATAAAAAATATCTATAATCTATTTTTGATGTTATCGGAAATTGCCTAAATCAAGCAAGGATCATTTTTAAAGAGCTATGAAAACATGTGAACAGACCTTTCATACAGGGTGTTGTCCAACTTGAGTCACCTTGAACTTGTAAATTTTAAATGTAGACCTGTTTCTTTTTCTCCAAATTTATTGATAGGTAACTTTTATTCACTATTGAGTAAATTCATTCTGCCACACATAATTTTTAGCAAATTCCTTGATACGAAAACATTTGAAAAAATTGATAATAAAGTACACAAAATGTTGTCATGTCCCATCTATGTTCAGTAAGGTTTTCCTATGTCTTAATACCTCCAGACGTTGAAAAAAAACTTTTATATCCAAACCTTACTTCACATCTTGTGGTGTTCAATGAACACTATAATCGACAGTAAGACCATTGAAATATTGAGAAATATGGATTGATATTCAAGAAAAATAAGCTAGCGTTGACCTAATTCATTCATTAAAAGATCTATATTGTCTTCCATAAGATACTCCAACGAACCAATTACATGCCATAACAAACTAATTTTTTTATCTGGTTGTCGTATGACGTTACAAAACGTCACTGAAAATTTTAGAGGGTTGTGATTTTGACAGATTTTAGATACTTGCGTACTAGTTATGCTATGGTACATATAATNCCAACTGACCTTCAAACTTTACACAAAACGATGTATTGATATTTGATATTTTAATGTAAATTACATTCTCATTTTTAATTTCTAAATGTATCTATCTAGTCAATTTTATTTAATACATACCTATAGTTATGTCCTTTATGTGTATGACAAGTAGCCAGTTCATACATTCTATCAACGTTACTGGGCATATTTGTCCAACTCAGCGATGGCATGCAAAACGTATATTGATGTGGAGAACCGCTAGGCCTGATATTGATTTGAGAACGAGTATGCATCAGTGGTACTGATAACGTAGTTTTTGTGTCTATAGTAAAGGATTTGCTAGGAACCCATGGAGTGAGAGAATCCTGAGGTAATCGACTTTCTAACTTCACCTCAACTGTTTGTGGAAGATAATTGATAATCAGAAGTGCAGAACGAATCGTAACAAGTTTTCTAGCAGATCCTTCCAGAGTTATGTCGAATACTACTCTCGCTGGTGAATTATCAAAGACCTGCAAAATAATAAGAATAAAAAGTTGATAGTTTCGAGGTAGTCACGAGCTGGGCTCTCCCTGGGAAATGATATTATATTTCAAAATGTCATTTGCAGTATTAAAAAAGTAAAAGTTTCTTACTCGAGGTTGATTCTCGGAAGCTGCATCTCTGAAATAAACACCAACTCTATCTACTGTGACTGGTTCTAAACATTGCCAACCTTCCACTTTGACTCCTAGTTGATGCATTCTCATTTTGTGAGAGTCTTGATGCCGCATTTTATCTGCAAGCAAAGTAATTGATACATCAAAAAACCATTTCCTTTTGACGAACATTCACGAAAAATATATAGAAACATCAGATTCAAGCTAAATGTATATTTGATAAAAGCTTTGTTTCTAACACACCACATGAAAAAAGACCATGAAGGTTATATACCTTCCGATGAAAATCAACATGATGTATCAAGTCATTTCAATGAAGGGAGATGAGTAAAATTTGTATGTGTTCACATGATCAATTATCATATATAATGAGCTCTGAAAACTTGACAGATTATGAATAGTTGAAGAATTTTTGTTAATTTTTTATAATTTGATGATAATTTGTGGTATTTTGGTCAAGATGAATTCATCAAAACCATGTAGTCTTTTATTTTTATAAATTATTTTCTGAATGTATGAAGAGGTATCATCAGCAACATATCAAGTCAAAATATGCTTTATCAGCCAAATATTTCTATCTAATTGATAAAATTTGGTCCTAATAACACATAAAATAAAAAATTCTACAGATATCAGTCATAACTACTTAATCAAAATACTAAACACTCAGAAGGAAAGCTATTTCAAATAATTTTGACACATTTCAACACAATTTGTAATGCAATCAATCAATTAAAATTTACTTTAATGTCTAAAGACTTTCTTATTGACAAAATTCAGAAGACATTCAGAAATTTTCAACAAGAAAGAAACAAATTTTAAATTGCGAAAAGCTCACTGCAAATTCAGTAATTATGATCAAATCATGGTTCAAACCACACTCACAAAAAACATCGAAATTCAGTATTTTTAGTTTTGCTACAAATAATTATATTAATTGACTTAGAGTAGGTTAGGTCAACTTCATTAGTACTTTTAGTGAAAGAAAGGTTTTGGCTTTCTACTTCTGAAGGACGGAAGAAAGTAATTAATTTCAAAATAAACTCTTTATGAAAGATCATGCATAGGCGTAACTTTCTGATTGAAACCAGAAGAAAAAGCCTTCTCAAAACAACTACTTTTATACAAAAATAACTTCTTCCTATTCAGTTTGTACTCCAAACATTCGTTTTGAAATTGAAACAGATATTATTCACAGGATTGCTACACAAAATGGTATATGGAAGGGATAACATTTCTCTTACATGAAACACTGTCATCTTCAATGGAGAACATCGATGTTATGAAAAATTTCATCAATGAAACTCCAAGTTAACTCAGATGTAACATTTTTAAATTCCTTACTGTAATATTTTCCTTTTGACTTGATTACTTTCCTTTTTCAAATTGAATCAAAAATGTTTTTTGGATGAATACTATTTACTTATGGACACGAGTGAGTTTGGTAATTAAAATGAAAACCTCACAACTAGCTAGGTCTATAAATACCACATTAAAAAGGCTTGTATGAATACATTGAAATCAATACCATTAAATAATGCATGAGCATCATAATAAACCAGGAATGCCATCAAAAGGTGCAGACTTGTGCCTGATATAGAATTGAAATAAATTGAGGATGGTAGTAGTCACTCAGATGAAAGTGAAAGTTGGTTTTTATAATTTGCACAGGTTAGTGATTCACATTTATAGTGAATTTTGTTTCTTTTCTATTTACCATAGTTTCATCAGTTCATGGCAGATCTGGTCATCCCAGGCTTGCCCACCAGAAAAAACAACCCTTCTTTCTATATTCACCATCACATTACACTTCCAATTGTTGAAAAATCTAAATGAAACAAAAAAACGTAGAAATTACCTCTGGTTGTGAATGAAAATGGTACCAATTCTCCTGGATTGACTGAGATCCAGTTACCACACAGTTCATCTGTCGATGCCGACTGAGATTTGTCGAGATCGGTAACATATGTCTGAAATTTCAATGGTGACCCGGTATCATTCTTCAAAGCAAACGGCACAAAAGGAGATCTTCTTCTGAAATTATTCGCACTTCGAAGAGTAGTATTGTCATTTTTATTGAGCCTGACATTATAGTAATCTTTAGTCCAATTATCTTTCACCTGCTTATAAAGGTCGATGAGAGTCGACGTTATGTTTATATTGAATGATTCTTCTGAATCCACTTTTATCGATAACCGATTTTTCCATAGAACTTGCGAAATTGTTCTTTCCCAGTTTATTGAACACCTAAAAATAAAATAGTTACATATGTCACCTCTTAGGAACCTGGTCTAGTACAAGGCAATTACAGGACAACTTCACTTACCAAAGTACGATATTACTAAGTCAATAAAATAATTATTTTATAAGGATTTGAAAGAATACAATGAACTACCTAATCATATAAAAGATGCTTGTTATGTATATAAGATCTAATCACTAATATTTTATCCAATATTATCATTATATACCGACTAATGTTTACGAACCTATGTAGAAGTTAATAATATATTCTTCTGTTATTGATTTTTGTTCATTTTTTCAACTGTATGTATATTAAGATATATTAGAATTGTATGTATATTAGGCTATATTAGGATAAGTTTCCTATTCAATAAAGATTCATTCATTCAAATATAATAACACGTTAAAATGTAAGACCTCGTTAATCTTTAGCTCGCACAAGTTTCGACTTTTGAGGGTTGTCGTTCGTAGGGGTGCGACAGCTGGTTAACGGAAAAACAGATTTTTTAAACCTGCTGCATGCAGCAGGTTCTGAATATAACAGAATGGACCGGCAAAGACGGGTTCAGCATTAGCCCAAGAAAGATTGGGGGCCTTTGAAATTTCAAGATAAAGAGATATATGTGAAGGGAACATATCCGAAAGGGATGCTAGATTCCAGGCCGACCAGCATCAAGGCTAACCAGCCTGATTAGATGCACTTATGGAAAAGACATTGGTGATGAAACAAGACACGATATATTGGCTCTACATATCGGTGGTTAAACCCATAACATATGCATCTATGATCTGGGACTAACGAATGTAAAGACAACCACTCTAACAGCAGCAATTAGGATAAGTTTCCTATTCAATAAAAATTCATTCATTCATTCATTCAAATATAATCACACGTTAAAAGGTAAGACCTCGTTAATCTTTATCTCGCACAAGTTTCGATTTCTGAGGGTTGTCGTTCGTAGGGGTGCGACAGCTGGTTAACGGAAAAACAGATTTTTTAAAACAATAATATAGAGAGAGAAAGCATGCAGCAGGTTCTGAATATAACAGAATGGACCGGCAAAGACGGGTTTAGCATTAGCCCAAGAAAATTGACCTTGGTAGCATTTACTGAAAGGACCAATACTGAAAGATTGGGGCCCTTTAAAATTTCAAGATAAAGAGATATATATGAAGGGAACATATCCGGAAGGGATGCTAGATTCCAGGCCGACCAGCATCAAGGCTAACCAGCCTGATTAGATGCACTTATGGAAAAGACATTGGTGCTGAAACAAGACATGATATATTGGCTCTACATATCGGTGGTTAAACCCATAACATATGCATCTATGATCTGGGACTAACGAATGTAAAGACAACCACTCTAACAGCAGCATTGGAGGCACTCTCGAATCTTCCTCTTTTCATCTTTTGTAATAATGGTGGAGGCAAGAGAAGGCTAATTCAATAAAATGGGCAGATAGCCAGGCTGCACTTGGGCCACTGACGAACCTAAAAATAATGTCCAGACTGATTTAAAAATGCAGTGAAAAATGGGGGAACTTGCAGTCAGCAATAGATTCACTCTATACTGGATGCCAAGACATTTAGGAATCACAGGTAATGAAAGAGCTGATGAGCTAAACACAGATCATCAACTCCAGTTCTCAACTAGATGTGGGGTTACCAAAATCTCTGCTAAGGGACCTAATCAGGAAATGGGTCGATAAGAAACATAAAGGGTTCTGAGAAAATATATCTGAAAACACAGACAGAGAAATCTTTATACTGGGACCAACTGAAAAGGGAATTAAAAAACTGCTCCAACAAAGCAGGGATCTGCTCTTGTAGAGCACTGGATCTCACGAGGCAAGCAACTTGTGGACAATCCAAAATATATCATGAATTATATGACAAACATTTAATAAAGAACCTAGTACAGAGAAGAAGATAGTTGGATTGGGTGTCATGAAAAGATTGGGAAAAAGCAATAAGCCCATGAGTGTGCAGTTTTTTCGGAGACTTGGAAGAAATGGACAAGTCAGAGGAATCCCAAGCTGCCGCAAAAAAAACTGTTAGGAAAAGTTTCATTTATTGTAACGGCATGATTATTTCGGGCTGAGCGTGGCAAAATCCCTCAAAGTATAGTGTAAATTTTCATAGAAACTGTTACATTATCAATCAAATGGAGTTGTCGATTCTATCATATGAAACCCGAAAAATTCACCAAACTTTTGATAATGCCTATAAGTATTTATTATTAATTAATTTCAATAGAGAACTAATATATGATATATAATTTGTAACTTTTCAATTACGAAAATATGGCGTTTTGACATCTACAATTTCAAAACGTATCACTTTATATACTTGAATGAATAACAAGTTTATATCAACACTAATATTGTCTGATTCAACTCACTTCCAAGGCTCTAAGAATGGTTCCCAACCCGAAAGAACTCTATTGTAATAGTCGCTCTCTAGATGACCCTCAATGAATCCTCTTGGATGAATGTAATTGCTGGCGCTGTATTTCGGTAAGTGTTGGTACAAAAATAATTTAGAAAGCGATAACTCTAAGAGGGGAACATCAGAATCCCCACAATCATCAATGATACAAACAGATATCCGACTGGCTTTAACCTAAAAAAAAAATAAGAATTCCTTTCAAGACAAACAATGAATAAAAATACTTCTGATACATTTCTATTACTATGTCATAGATACATTCTCATTTCAAAAACCTTTTACTACTTATAATAATGGATATAAGGGGTCACATAACTGTGCTGTATGAGAATTTTTTGTTAGTATCAAACCTAGAGTTAACATAAGACTGTAATTTCTATAACAGCTAAGACAGTATGATAATGATTTTTTTGTTTATTTCCTACGATTTCATGGTGATCTAATCTTCATATAGCGATTAGATCATCATGAAAGGATGCTATGAAAGAATAACTCAGACAAGTGCGCCATGAATAGTTTTTGAACTTCTGGAGTTTATTTGAAATTTAATTAAAACTACTGATCATTATTACTAGTAGTCATGGTTCTTGCAGAATTAAAAAAAAAATATCAGATTATAAGTTGAAAATTGTATACCCTTCTTATTTTCATTATTAATTTTTAAACTATATTACTTACTTCGACTGCATCAATACTAATAGATCGTCTGGTTTTATTGCCTACACTATGTGAGGGTGTTGCATTCAGAGTAAGCCAAATTGCTGCGTCATCGATACGATTTCCACNCTTAAAAGGATCATATCTGGTGATAAATCATGGGTATATGGTTATGACATTGAAACCAAAGTCCAATCTTCCCAATCAAGGCCGTAGCCAGGGGGAATCAAGGGGGATTGATCCTCTCGAAAATTCTACAAGCAACGGCCATCCCAAAATTATATCAAATACAACGATTGGCTTGTTTAAACATCACAGGAGCTATGAGAACAACACCAACCGCGGCAAAGAAATTCACTACTGGTCTGTCCCATCCGGACCTGTACGTTAAGAAGGTTGCGTTAATGGCCATGTTACGTTTACGCATGGCTGGTGTAAACCTCGAAGTAGGAATGGGTCAATTGAACCAGTGATGCAATTGAACCCAGGTTTGTGTTTAATAAACCCTACAAAATACAAATAAAACAGAGAACACAAAGTCAGATGCTACAAATGCAATATGCATATATACAGACGGCTCAAAAACCAATGGCTTCGACAATTGAGGAACTAGCCAAACGTTACACCCATGCTCAATCCCTAAAGAAATGGGATGGAATCAAAAGATGCAATCTTGCCAGGATCACCCTGGGTGACCCTCAGAAAAAAACTACGCTTGACAGTAGGATTTCTGACTGGCCACTGTCAACTAAGAAAACACGTCCATAATATGGAGCTAGTGGACACACCTCTATGCAGGATGTGTGAATAGGAAGATGAAACTGTCAGGCATGTCCTATGCGAGTGTCTGGAGTTATCGTCAATAAGAGAGTGTTTGTTCGGCGAGTCTTGGCCTATACCTGCCGATATAAAGGAGATGTCTCCTAGTGACATGTCCACCTTCCTGGAAAGGACAGGATGGACGATGACCTAGGAGGACAACTCCTCGGGAGGATGTACAATGGGTCACTTGTGGCCTAAGTGCTGTGGGCCTACTATACAGATACAGATACTATTGGAATCACAAAATCCGTTGGAAATTTTATCAAGTCCTTGGCAAAACTAACCAAGTGCTTGAAAGAGGATATTGAAAAAAACTTCCCCAAAAAACAATGAAAAAACCTTACGGCCATATGCGTACAAACTTTTAAAGATCTTGGCGACACTACCTGTTTCCACATGTACCCCTGAAAGGACTTTCTCTTCTCTGAAACGCCTCAAAACTTATTTAAGAAACTCCATAAGCCAGGAACGACTAAACGGTTTGGCGTTAATGTAAATCCACTATAGAACTGACATCAACATCGAGGAGATAATTGATAAAACAACGGTTTTCATTGTACATTTTTTTACATGAGCTACCGACTCGTGGAAAACGGAGTTCAAAAAACGGTTTTCATTGTACATTTTTTTACATGAGCTACCGACTCGTGGAAAACGGAGTTCAGTTGTTTGGATTTAAATCAGGAATATATGTGTAGTTGTGAGCCGGAAGCGTTTTATTTAATACATAACAATTGGCGACCAGGATATAAGAAATTCCACGTAAATTAATTATTTCGTTAAGTGTGGCAAAGTGAGACTAAAAACATCGAACAGAAAAAACAATGGCAACCGGACTTTTTGGTTCTCTCGCTGTATTTGATCACAAAAACTCAGACTTTTCTGTGTTTAACGAACGATTGAAACAGTTTTTCATTGCAAATGAAATCAAAGAAGAAACACGGAAAAAAGCAATCTTAATGAATACTTTGAACGAAGAGTGCTATGTTTTGCTGCGTAATTTATGCATAGATACCGGACTTACCTGAAGCAAAAACTTATAGTGAAATCATCGACATTCTGATTGTCTACTTTTTTCACGTTAAATCGTACTTTTCGAAACGTTTAAAATTTTACAATGCTCGAAAAAGTATGAGTGAAAGTGTTTCCGAATGGGAAGCAAAGTTGAAAAGTCTCGCTACAAATTGCAAGTTCAGTGAGGAGCAATTAAAAATAGTGTTGCGAGACATATTTGTAATAGGGATGAGATACGAAAAAATTATGTCCCGTTTATTTGAGGAAGATGCATCAAGTGAAGTAGTAACGTTAGCTTCCCTAGTGCAAATAGCTTCAGCAAAGGAATCCGCTATTAAAGAACAAGAAGTGCAGGTGGTAGCAGTGAAAGCTGCTAGAACGAATATTAAAGTTGAAGATGTCCATTTAAATACTCAATAATATTGGCATTACGTGTAAAGGAGCAAACTTTGCACCTTTCAACATTCATTGCCAATTTATTGATTTGACACCAGTTATCTATCCGGTCTAATTGAAACTGGAGATAAGAGCAGCTTTCTAAACTTGTGATAGATGAAAAGATCTTCGAGTCGTCTGCAAAAAGTAAGTTGCCACACGAAAGCTCGAAGGTAAGATCATTTTTGAAGATGAGGAAAAGCAGGGGTCCCAGATTTGAGCCTTGTGGCACACAGGTGATAAGTATGATGCAGACGCAAATCCATTATAAAAAAACAACATTGATTCTCTGATCCAAATAAGAGCGTAGAAGTTAGTTAGTGAGAGATTTGAACCCACTCGAGGTATTTTCTCTGGTAAGATGGAGTGACTAATTCTGTCGAAGGCCTTTGCAAAATCTTTTCACAGAATGTCGAAAGATATGAAAGACGATGCTTATTCTGGACACCCCAGTACATCAACAACTGATGAAAATGTTGAGAAAGTGAAGAAAATTGTTATGGAAAATCGTCTAATCACTATTATAGAAGTTGCTGAGAATGTCACCATATTGGTCGGCTCATGGCATGCATATTTTTTGAAAGTTTTGGGTATGAAGTGTGTGGCGGCGAAGTTCGTTCCAAAATTGCTGAATTTTCACAAAAAAAAACCGTCGCATGACATCGAAATCAACGTCCAATTGTCCCAATGGAAGAACCAAGGAGAGCCAAGAACAAAAAAAGCACGCCAAGTTCGATCAAATGTCGAAGTTTTGCTTATTGTTTCATTCGATTACCGTGGCGTAGTGCATTAGGAGTTCTTGCAACACGGTCTTACAGTCAATAAAGAGTATTATCTTGAAGTTATGCTGCGCTTGCGAGAAGCGATGCGAAAAAAAGTTCGGTATTGTGGAAAAACAAGGGACAAAATAGAAATTGTGAATAAATAAATATTAAAAAAAAATAATGAAAATTCACCTTATTTTTTGAACAGACAGCGTATAACTCTGAATCAGATAAATGTTCACAAGTGGTAGAAGCTTTTGAAAAGAAAAGAAAAAACACAATTTATTGCTCAACAGATGAATCCATTTACAGGATAATATATAATACAGTGACATCCCTAAAGTATGCACCATATGGGAAAATTATTTATTAAAGGTTTTTCGACAAAAATTTAATATTGATAAAAGTTTGTGCATTTCATAAAAC